CTAGATGGGCCTCTGACCAATCGCTTAGTCTTTCTGGGCGCAAATAAAGGTTGCCTGCTGCTGCTATTTTTAAACAAGGATTGGTTTTATTTTTCTAGGCACGGAGTCAGCAAAATATTTTTTTAATCAAAATTAAAAATGGTCGCCGGACATGGTTGTTCGATCTTATCTGGAAACGCCCACTGCCAGTGATGTCGTAAATGGTTGAACGGTGTTAGTTTCTAATTTACGATAAGGAAAGAGTAACATCGAAGACAGACAAGACAGGCTTTCGAAGAAAGCCTGTAACTGACGATGCCCAAGCACCTGCGCGTTTGTAAAACTGCTAGAAAGCAGCATCTCCGCAAGGGATGAGAGGGGGGGGTGGGGGGGAGATGAGGTAAAACTTTAGAGACAAAGGGGTTGGAGAGGGTTATTGGAGAAAGAGGGCAGTGTGGAGACAAAAGGTGGCAACAAATCCCTCGCCGCCCGTCACCGCGGAGGAACCTGATTCCAGCCCTACAAGACATTCTCCTTCGCTTTGGACACTTGGGAGGGCTCTCAACGCAGCGCCACTCTGTCCGTGTAACATTTGCGCAGTTTCAAGATGAACCCATACGAAAGCCCAGTTATCCCGTGTCTGATTCAGCAGATCCGAAAGGGCAACACTAGACCTACATGAGAAACCTCAAGAGCTTCCTTGTGAAGTTGAAAGTACTTGCAACATAAGCAGATATAACCGAGTTGTTTACTGCAATATAGGCAGTTATTTTAAATTTGTTCCCCTTTCTGTTTAGCGTTTTTAAGTGATCCTTAGTGTACCAACGTGAAGACCTTATGGTTGTTTTCGCGCACAGAAGAATAGATATTATAATAAATGGCTCCTCTAAATTAGAGTAGTCCCTCGTTATTAGTGATGGGACGAATCACCCGAGATTCGGATTCGGACAGATTCGGAAATTTCCGAACTTCTCGCGACAAATATTCGGCAGATTCGGAGATTCGTCCGAATCCTCGCTGGTTGCAGGCGGCAGCATAAACCTTGTCGTAAACCTCGCGAATGCGGTCAGTTGTGCTTTTCTAGCTACTGTTACTGCATATGACCAGAATTCGTCTTGTTTATTTCAACGTATGGTATGTACTGTACTGTCATTCTAGACCCTGGCACGCGCCCAGGTCCAGCTGAGCTGATCGGTGTGGTTGACGTAGGCCTAACCAATGCACGGTCTCGCTTTCTGTGCGGTTTCGCGGTGATCGGTAAAATGTAGCGAAACGCTGTGTATTATACATAATGTGGCGCAACGAAAAATAAATATATATTCAGCCAAGGAAATGATTCGTCTCCTTCTCTAGAGCTGCGTATGTCTGTACTTGTAAGTCGCGAGAGCGAGATACCGGTGGCAAAGAAAAACGTCGCACTGTCGTTTCTCCGTTATCGGCAGCAAGTTTTGTATACGTGAACTTTATTTGATGAAAAAGAAACACAATACAGGGGTGTCCAACGCAACTTCATTGTTCGGAAACAGACATATAACTAAATCGGATAGCATGCATTAACGAAGTTTCAGATTGTTTCCCGTGTTCCGATAGCAATACCTCAGTGGATAGTCGATCGTTGTAGATAATCGAATCGAACATACTCACTTGTGTGGTGTGTGCTAGAGCACTATATAGCTCCTTCGGAGCAGAGTAGCGCAATCTAGAACGCCGCCTCTCGGCGACTAGCGGCGAACGCCAGGAGGTTCCAACTGCGGTCAGAAATGCATGGAGAACGTGAGAAAATCGTTGTTTCTTCAGTGTTGTGGGAACGTACGGCATCGCAATCATTTTTGACATAATAATGGAACACTTTAGAATAATTTGCGCTAAGTTTTGTGCCCCGCAAGGACCTGACTTTTTTTTAAAAATTGCCTGAGCGGCATCATGCAGCAGACGACACGGCGACGTCACACCATTCACGTGACCCGCTCCGGCCAACCCGAAAAGCCCATCTCCGCTGCGAGCAAAAATCGTCTGCTTCAAACGCCATTGCCTTGGAAATTGCCTTCTCAAAATTTGCACACGTATCCGATATTGTTAAAACTTTGATAAAGTGTTTAGTGCTTTACTAACTTCACGACAGACTAGTTTTGAAAAGTGTGAACTCGCCGCTCATTTTTTAATCAGCCGTGTTGTGTCGATCTCCATGTATTCTCCCATAGGGCGGGCCGCCTCCTGGAACCCTGAGTACCACGTGACTCGCGCCGAGCCGCTCTGTCGGCCATGTTGTCGGCAAAACACGGAGTTCAAAGGATTGCGCTACTCTGCTCCGTAGGAGCTATATAGTGCTCTAGTGTGTGCCACACTGACAGCAATTATCGGCACGAAATGTGTCTGTACCGAACAGCACTTACGGCATCGATCTCTTGCGGCGATGAAAACATACGCTTGTATTTCCACGTGCGTGCATCAAGCATGCCTATTTGGGTCGTAATCCAGAACCGAAACCAACTTTCCCGCGATGTCTGGCTACCGTTCTCGATAAACATTCAAAATAATATAAACAAAGTGGAACATTTTATTTAGTTCTGTGATATTATATTACAATAATCTTTCGTGTACTTCGTAGAATTTAGTGAATTTAATATCACAAAAAGTTGAAACACACATCAACGTGATTTAGCAACCATGGCAACGCTCCGAATCTTTCCGAACTTTTCCGAATCGCTTGAGATTCGGCTACTTTTCCGAATCTTTCCGAATCTGCAGATTCGGCTCCGAATCTCGATTCGGATAAAGATTCGTCCCATCACTACTCGTTATAAAGAAAAGAATGGGACAAAAAAATTATTGAAGCGGTAATGCAATCAAAGCAATGGAGCCGAGAAAACAGCACCAGCAGCGTCGAAGGTAGTTGGGAGCACTGCAAAACACCCCGACCATATATTTAAACGAACAATCCTCCATTATAAACTTCTTGCGGCAGCTTTACCGAGTAAAAGTAATTAATTGGAGTTTGCCGATAATTTCATCCGGGCAGAGTTCTCCTGAAACTACTCCAGGCATCGCAAGAACACTGCACCTCAGGAAACGCATTCTGCGTTTCCCGAGGTGCCACTCCGACGTCGCTTGGTGTTTACCCTGGCCGTACGCCAAGTCAACGATTGCACCATCTGTGGCCAAAGCAACAACGGGAACGTTCGCATCGACAAGCGCGAACGAATCAAAGTTATGCTCTGTGGCTTTGCCAACATGTTTGCATGCACGTCTGTAGAGATCGTTGCAGCTGTGCACATGGTGAGCCGGCTCGGCAACCATGCTTGAGAGAGAATCAGACTTGCACGAAACAGTTGGCAATCTTTCATCTTCGGGTTGCAGGAGTACTTTCGCCTGCACAAAATCTTCTCCAACCCTCACTTGTTCCGCAAAATGGTGGACAGTGCCTAACAGCTGATGCCGGAATATCAAAATTCTTTGGCGATTTGGGCCTTGGGCCGGCCACTTTTCTCAACCTCAAACGACATTTGGTCATTTCCATATGACGCACGTGTGCATGTATGGTATGTTGCAGGTTAAGAAGGTAGGACGAGGGAAAGGGAGGTGGGAGAGGACGAAGCAATGCCGGTTTAAGGAGGGGATTTTACCCTCCCCTTGCCAGTGTTGTCCATTCCCTCCTCTCCCACCTCTTTCCCTCACCCCTTCTTGAGTTGGCAACTACAGTAGGCCGCAGGTGTGCGCGTCTGGGCTCACAAAGGGATGGTCTCCTCCAGACTACATCACTCCCTTGACCTGATTCTGATAGGAGTCTGGCAGAGTCAGCCGTGGGTACCGCAAGTAGTGTTGGAACGTCGACGCTGCTCCCTGCCCGCATTGAGGCATTGGCATTTGAAGCGGCGCTCAGCCAGCTCTGTGCGCTCTGCCCTCCGTTACCCATTTACTCAGTTTTCCTGCGTGGAGAAGCAGGAGGGATGCCAGGGTCTCTCGTTTGCCTCCGTTTAAGCTTGCCTACTTTTAGCACTGCAGCCTTCATATTATGCGTGGTCGGCCGCCGATATACCGAGAATAATCTGGTTAAAAATGCGTACATTTTGGTCTGGACCACGTCAAACTTCGATAAAAGCAATAACTCAAAAAAATTGATTTTGTTGTAACGAGGGATTACTACAGTCTAAGACGGGAAAATACTCGACTAAGGGGAGGCTTAGGAAATATGGGAGCTCTGCGCAGATGTCTACTCGGGCCGACATTTAGAACCCCGTCCCACTGTCTCTTGGGCCCGAACCTCCCCACGGTCCGCTATTCATTTCCAACAGCCAACACAACCCGACACTAATTTTCAGGGCCCGCCGAGGCCCGCTTTATTTAGCTCCTAAGTTGTGTGGCATGGCAGCTCGCTCGCCACTGCTACACTCGTTGATTACAACACCCGATAGTCTATGCTAGGGCTGGCCCGGCCTAAGAGCCGCAAACAAAACCCCGAAACGTCCAAGAGCCGCGGGGGGGGGGGCGTGCAAACTTTTGTCCATAGCAATAAACGAAACTTGAACTACTTTCAATCTATCCGAGTCAAATACAGTCAACCTGTACGTAAAGTAGCAGTAGCACAAGACTACCAAGCCGCAACGAGTCTTTCGATATAAAACGCATTCCATTTTTTTTTTGTGGGGCGGGGGGTGCGTTAAAGTGCGAGGCGCACTTTAACACGCAAAGAGCTGCAGCTTGGCCACTCCTGGTCTATGCAGTAACAATTCCTTTTTTGCTATTATCAGTCGGACCCATCTGCGGGCCTAGGCAGTTCGTTAAAAAAAAATTGCCCATTTGCGACCAAACCCGCGTATCGGAAAGGAAGGAAGAAAAAATGATAAATAGCAGTAAAAAAAACCATGTGTCAAAGTTGAAAATGAAGAGAAACATCGCAACGGGTACGGACAAAACGTGGACAAAGTTCCAAATTGCCCAGTCCAGCTTCATACAAAAATGCATCATATTCGAGTAAAGTACATATCGCTAAGACCATCAATGGTGCTCAAAGAGGGCGGAGGTTGGAGCCCCCAACCGACAGGGGTCTAAAAGCAGTTTATACACGTAGTTGTACAAAATGATGCTAAAAGCTCTGGCATTGAGTTGAAGGTGCAACCCGACGGTCCGAGCTCAGGTGCGTCCTGCAATCTTCTGGAGGGCTGCACTGCGCGACAGTGCCAGGGTGCTGACCGCCTCCAGCCGGCTGCTCTTGAACTTCTGGTAAGTGGTCTGCGAGGAGGAGACCAGAGGGTTGAGCGCAATGCTGGTCCCAACGTAGTTAAAGTGCCTTATGCACATACTCCCTTTATGATTATAACTCTATCCATGGGCATCCTAAAACTCCCGAAATTACACTCGTGCGCGGCCGATTTGCTTATTAAAGAGTAACTGCAAAGAAAAAAAAGTTTTTTTTTAAACAGCCTAATTGGGACAAGCATGTCACAAAAGAAATGTTCCGCAAAAAAAAACAACCTTTTTTGCAATATTTACGCCACAGGACGTAATTTAGACAGAGTCGGAACCTCCCCACATTTGAAACTCCCGCTCTTTCGACCCCCGCGGAGGAGAACTATGCCCCGCCCCTCACTCTTGGATTTGTTTTGGGTTGACCTGGCTGCGGAGGTGAATGACGCAGCGTCTCGACTTTTGGTAAGATCTGGCAACAATGCGCGTTGAAGGGAAGCTACGGAGCTTCCTGAAAAAAATGAGTTAGAAGTGAATTGTAGTGTAATTTTACCCCGTGAACCCAAATACCCAAACCATTTTCTGCGCAAGTATTGTAGAACGCAAGAAAACGCGAAAGACAGTCGCTGTACGTGACGTCATCGACGGATCTTTTGGCTGCTCAAGGCTAAAGAGGCGGGGCTTCAGCCCTATTTCAAAATTGCTCTTGTGGCTCTCCGGTGCGTCGCATTGACACATAATTGGGATATCTGTTATTCCAACGACCAAGTGAACACAATTCAAGTGTTTTTTCTCAAATGCAGAACCGTCCCATCTTCCCTTTAAACATGGCACCAATATTGTTTTGGTTCGACGGAACACGAGAAGCTGCACGGTTTGCAAGCGCATAGCGAAGACGTGACCGGAGAAGTGCCCGTCTGATGTTCCCGGAGGACCGAAAGTATTATTCGTAATCGTCGTGTGTGCTTTGAAAACGAAGGAAGTCACAGGGTCCACGAGTGTGCAACCACAAGCCAACGTTCACGACAGCGCTGCGTTGACTTCGGTGATCTCGTTCTGTTTGGTGCAACGCGGCGATGCGACAAAGAACTGAAACGTTTGTGGTGTGTGTGGTGCAGTGGTTGGAAGTAGACACCCAACACTGAGCGCAAATTGGCTGTTGTGGGGTTGAGGTTCAACGGGTTCAGTCCCGTCGTTGTCAGCTGATCCGGTCAAGCTGGTCCGGGAGGACGCAGCGAGCGTTTTTAAAAGTAAATCTTCCTTCTTTCCGTTTCAAAATGTTGAAGATTCCCAACGCTTACAGCGAGTAAAAAGCTGCGGGCGTTTTCAACAAAATTACTCCGTTTCAATTGAACAATGGACTCCGAATTGTTGTTCTAAATCTGCTGTTTTTACGCTTCGTGTTGTTGGACTGTTTGCACAGTGACGTGTTGCGCTCATCGTGCGGTGTAAATAAATTTGGGCAAGACTTCCTACCTGCTCACAGATGCATGAACTGAGACCATTTTTCACGTGGCGAACATAAGTTGTATCTTTTTTTTTTGGGGGGGGGGGGGGGGGGAAGAGGCGTTGTGCATTTATTAAAGGGCAACTCCGCTTAATTTCAAAAATTTTGAGATAGTGGCCGATTTTGCTCTTTGAAGCACTCGAAAACAATCCCCAATCCTTTGTTTCGAGAAAAATAAAATATTTTTCGTGTAATTTTACTCTAGCCATGATCACAAACCGAAACCGAAATGGTGGCAAAGCCGGACAACATTGTATATTCGGCATCACTAAGCATGTACACCCACGTGATATACAAGGGGAAGAAGGAGCTCCCCTCTTATCAGGATCCTCCTTTGTGCCTCCTGGATTAGCACCGGCGTCGCTATTCTCCTCCCAGAAGATTATAGAAGATTAACTAGAAGATTAGCCGCGCTCAACGAGGCGATGGGCCTATCAGTAGTATCAATAGTCGAGCGCCGAGCCGGCCGAGCGCGCCACTCACGTCTCTCACGGCGCTGGCGTAACCCGTGCTCTCCCCAAGAAACAAAAAAAAAAAAAAAAAAGCTGTACATGTTTGATGACGTCACGGATGTGCCGGGAGAAAGAATTTGGAGGAAGCGGAAATGCAGCCGGGCAGTGTTGTCTGGCCCGCACGTCCCATCCAAAACCAGCGGATTCGTGCTTGTCAAACTTTGACAGCGATTTTAATGAACTTCTAGGCGGAATTCCGTCGTAAAATTTGCCATGGGGGTTTTGTAGATGATAACAAAGAGAACTGTACAGTTTTGCACTACTGGAAAAGAAGCGGAGTTGCCCTTTAAGGTACAATCACTTGAGAGTTCAGAAATTGGGGAGGGTGAACAAGCTTTTCGAACTTTGTCTTTGCTCTCTGGCACTGCCCCTAGTTTCAAGTTCCAGTTTCAGTAGACATACCTACTAGCACCTAGCAGGTACAAACTGCTCTTAGGCAGGTTGAAGACTGGGAAGCCGGGACGGTACGGACTTCGTGTTTCGCGCTTTTCGCAAGGTACGCGGAATATGCAACAGATTTTCCCATGCTCGTTGTTTTCGTCTCTCCAACAAAACTAATTATTTCTACAAAGGCGTAATCACAAGCCAAGATTTACGATAACAGTACACATTCATTCCAGCAACTTTACATAAGATGGTTCGAAAGCGGAGAAAAAAAAATCTGTCGGCTAACGCAGAATTTGGACGTCCGAAGGCTTATGTGGACAGCCATTACGTAATAACCTGGCTGTGCCAGGTTTTTTTACGTAACAGCTGTGTCTAGTCGCGGATGTTCGATGCACCCGGTGCGAATTTTGACGGCCTCCGGAGCGCTATGACGAGAACGTAACTGGACACGTTTGTCGCTACGCGAATGCCCGATAGCTTCCAGCGAAATAGCATTCCATTCGGGGCGTCATGGCTGCTGGAAGGCTAGCTGTCGGGATCACTCATCTGAAATCTCCGAAAACTAGGCATTTGCATGTACAAACAAACAAGAAAAAAAAGCACGCTAAGCAAGCAAAGAGGAAAACGAAAGAATCGCGTTATGAAAGCCAAAACCCCGCATCGCTTCCTATCACGTACACCTGCGACAGCTGCTAAACACACACTGCTTCACTTTAAGAAGTCTCACTCAAGCACCTGGGTCAGCACGAAACACTGATCACTTCGGCGAAACGATTAGTCGAGGTAGGCGAGACAGACGGGAGCAGAGACTTCGGCGGCCATGAAAGAATGGCGAAGCATTTGTTATGGTATGAATCCAAACGGAAGTTGTATAAGCGTTTTGTAAAGAATAATAACTTTCATCACATGGTTTATTCTTTAAACGTAAAAATATGCCGCTCAAAAGGAACTTGCTACATATAACAAAGGTTTAACAACCAAGATCTAAGCTGTCGATCTCTCAGCCAATGAGAAGTATAGCAGCCAATCAGCGCTAAACATCACAGAACCCCAATTTTGTGGTACGCGATTTAAAACAAACAAAATAACCGCAAACTTAAATCAGTATCATGTAATAAATATAACTGTAAAAAATTTTTTTATCACGGAAATTTTTTTTTTTTGGCATGCTTGTCCAAATTAGGTTGTTTAAAAAATCTTTCTTTGCAGTTACCCCTGAAAAAAGCGATGAAAGATTTCAACACTTGCTGTTGGCGTAGAGCCACAGATGGTGCTTCGAACCTAGCTGAATATGGTCGAACGACGGACGGCGGTCTCCACGTGGACGAGAGGCCTATCGCGGACTGGTTGGCCGTCCGCCATTCAACCATATTCAGCAATGTTCAATAGCACCATCGGTGGTTCTGCACTAACGCTCGCTTTTCAGGGGTGAAGCTCCTTAGGGGCTAGCCATGTCCGTATGTCCATCCACCCTCGGGTGCACGTGCTCTGGCTCGTGAGCTCACACGCTCAGGAGCACGTGCTCCCGTGCTCGTGCAAAACAAAAAACAAAAAACAGCTGCATCTTCACATGGTGAATGATGTTGATTGGGGTGAAGCTCTGGTAGTGCTTGTCTGCGTAGACGCTCAGCCGCAGCATGCCGAGCCTTTCGTTCGTTTTCATCCATATAGGAAAGAGAATGTGCGATATGAAACGTGGTTATATACGCATTTGACCGCAGCGTGACACGGATGAAAACGAACGAAAGGCTCGGCCAGCGTGCCAGAAATTTCAAGCGCAGATTAGCGGATTTTGATATGCAAGTTATCGTATAATGCTATGCTCAATAAATATTAAATAATAAAAAAAATAAACAGTTGAATTACGACGTTACCTGCACGCAAATAAAAAAGAAATGGAATAACTGTGTCAAAGCAGCCGGTCGCTCCAGCAAAAAGTAAATCCGGTTGCTGTAGCCATTTTACTATACAAAGGTTGTACCGGTGTAGGCCTTATGCGGAATGAGTGGAAATCGGGAATAATAAATAAAAACGTGCTCTCCTAGTGCAATAGACACAGTGGTTGAGGTGCTGGCCGACTCTACTGCGATTGAAGTAACGGAACAAAGATACACTAGTTGACCATCTACTGAAATAAAACAACAGAGCTCTAAAGGCTGATTTTGGAGTAGCCATAACCACTCGAACCACTTCATAAAAATGCCAGCCATGAGCGAGAGTTCGATGTTCGTTACAGCCCAAAGATGGAGAACGGCAACCTCCTGGTTTGTTGTCTGCTAGCCGAGTCGGGCGCTTGCCCTCTGGGGGGGAGACAGGTCAAACAGATTTTGGAGCAGAAAAATCTGGATTTTGAAGCACTGTAAGCGCACAAAATTCTAGTTTTGGAGCAGCAGTTTATGCATTTTGGAGCAACTTCAAAGCACAAAAGTCTACAGCATGAAGCAGATAATGTTAGAGCAGCTTATCAGCAATTTAAATCATAAAAAATCTGCTTTAAATCACATGTCCGATTCTTCTTTTTTAATCCTTATTTTTTGTCCATCCTGGTTTTAACAAGTCATCGATCGAACGCTCGTAGAAAGCATGTGCAGATAGAAAAACTCCACACAAAAGTGAGTCGCAAGGTAAATAGTGAATTGGTGGAAAAACTGAGCTTTTTGGAAATGTTGCATAAAATTAAGGGGTGACCTAAATAGCGACTAGAAAGTTTTGACCTACATTTGCGACCCAATTTCAGAATGTTAGTGGGTGCATGGAGCCATCCAGTCATCGAGCTGACTTTGCCGAAAGCTTTTGGTGTTTTGCCCCCTCCTTCTCTCCCTTGCGGATGTGCACTAAAGCAAACAATACGGAGGTTACTTTTGCTTCTTGCGATGTTGGTCGCGTCTTTGTATGTCATCTCTGGTCGCTTCTCTCCACCCTCTTTTGTATCTTGGTGTCATTTTGCGAGGGTGGCAGTGAGGTTTTGTTGCAAATTTGTGAGGATGTTGATGAAGCTGACAAAGCTTCCGATGACCATGACATTTCCGGAAGTTCCGACGACGATTGCGAGAGTGCCATTAATAAAGGTTAGTTTCTTTCTTTTGCCCAAACTTGTTCTTTCACAAAAAAAATGAAAGGTCAACCTGTTTTTTTTTTTATTATATATTGTTTTTATTCTCTGCGAGTTTAATATAAAGGCATCGACCTTATTGATGGTCGACTTATATTCGAGTACATACGACATGTGTCTCAATCACGCTCAATTGGTTCGCTGGCACGTGTTGAATCCAAATAAAGATGATGGTTTCCGTGAAAGCAGCCCCGTAGCCCCGCGAATTGTGCAACCATGGTTGCGTTACCCAGAAGATACCCATGCAGCTAAGAATTTGCGAGCCATTTCGGCCCAAGGCAATCGGGCGATCGGCTTGCATCGAGGCCGTCCGGGTATGTCCCAGTCATTTCGCTTCGAAAGGCAAGCATAGCTCAAGTTTTGAGGGTGCACCTGGCCTGCCAAAGCAAACATCTTTAGGTCACGTTTCAATTGCGCCTTACGACGCTCACCCAGCTTGCTCGCAGGTGTCACGTGAAAATATAACGATCGTAGAAGCCACGCGAAAAATATAACGAGAATGTAGGAGCTAAAAGGATTACACATTTCTTTTGTCATTTTTTTTTTTTTAGACCTCTCTGTCGCTTTTTACTGCGCATCGACAGACGGCAACAGATGTTTGTATTGGACCGTCGCTCGGGCACAATGAAACTCTAGGATGCTGCTTTTGTGGTCGGGTCTGACGAGCAGCAGAAAAGTTTATAGATGGGGGCGGAGTAGCAGACGAACCAAGGCAAGAATGGACGCCAACGCATAGCGTGTCTGCCTCCTACGGGCATTGCAGACGATAAGCGGCGGCGAAATAGCGGACAATGCTGGAGGCTACAGCGCCCACACTCGTGCAACTTGCCAGCGGCTGTCACACTCCAATCTAAACGTTGCAAAAGGGAGACACTAGGCTTCTTCGCTTGTTTGGCCGAGCAGCCAAGCCCATCCAGTAGCAATGGGCGGGGCAACTCATTTGTGGGGGGGAGGGGCTTAGAGTGCGCTGTGACCACCGCAGAAACTGCGTTGAGCGGCGTAAATGTTATGCAACATTTTTCCTTTGGAGAAAAATTTAGAGAACAAAATGAGCTGTCCCGCGTAGGCCCATTAAAAAGAGGATTCTTTCATTGCAGTGTCCCTTCAATTTGCAGCTGATGATAGCCTATTTATAACCGATCAAACAGCGTCAAAAGCGCAACATCATGGCATTGGTCATACTTGCCCTTTTATCGGCTAGACCAATCAGGTGCAGCGAATGACCTGTGCTTTCGTTGTGGGTGTGTTCGAGCATTTGACTGTGGTCTTACCAACTACTAGAAAAAACTGTTATAAAGGCAAATGTGTGAATGTAGTTCCCCGTAAGAGCGGAAGGGACCCACCGTGTGCTTTCCCTTGTCGGCGTCCAGCATGAGGGCGGCCATTTTGGCCACGGTGGGCGCCAGTTGGGCTTGGCTGAAGCGGCCGTAGTGGGTCAGGGTGGGGTCCCAGGCCTTGCCGTCCAGCTGCAGGGCTAGGCAGAGAGCCGCCGCAGCCTGTTCCGAGGGACGCACCCAGGACAGCTCGTAGCACAGCAGGGAGAGCTCCAGGGCATACTTGGCCAGGGAGTGCTCCACTATGTCCACCTGTGCAGAGAGGGCCTTCAGTATCCACTCTGGAGCGCACATTCTCTCTTCTCAACAAGGACCAAACTGCTACCTACCAAGAAACTGTCATTGAGGCTACAACAAAAAGAGCATTCTGCTGGAAATGTGAGGGGTCCAATCTGAGTTTCATCGTTAACGCTCCAACAAACCAAAAGTAGACATAATTAGACACACTAATTTTCCGAAGTAACAGCCATGGGTGAGGGAGAAGGTTCATATATTCCAATTCTTTTTTATTTGTTGTTTTTTAATCTGACCCCCAAGGATTTTTCGGACTCGCATAATTCGGACCTGAAGGAGGAACCGTGACTTAACCCATCAAAGGAGTGTATATTCACGACCAATGTATCGGACAGCTCGAAGTCAGAAAGTTTGATTATTTGGACAAAATCGTCGCGAGCAATCGGAGGGAAACAGCATTGAGAAGCGGCCATTTGGAATTCCACGGTGGCTGCATACGAATTGGCGTGGCAACGCGACTTGAGTACTGCCGAGTCTTACCGCAAGGTGACGCTATGCTAACCCTTTTTTTCCATTTAGCCGCACGTCATCATCATCATTTTGCTTTGTTTCCTTTCACTTACACATCGCCCTTTCGCGCTCGTGGATTTGCGCCTCCGATCTCGTTCCTCGCATCAGCAGAAAATGAGACTCCGACGACTACTACTGCCCGCAGCCATTGACAGCGGACATCACAAACGCATTAACATTGCTATTGGATGTGTACGACGAGAACACGACGCTCGCCCAAATGCAAGCAGACGTCATCGCGAGCAGGCGTAACATGAAGCAAGCAACTTGACGGATTTTTAAATCCTGCTTAGGCGTAATAAAGGCAAGTTTTTTCACTTACCGAATTTTCGGACTGCTTGATTATTTGGACCGTTTCGGGGGTCCCCTCCAAGTCCGAATAATCGGTCGGTGACTGTACTTTTAAAAGTTTTGGTGTTTATGCGCCTTCTGCAGTAACATCGCATTTTCAAAAAATCAAATTTCATTTTTTTATACATTATGCTAACTTTTGTTTAATTTGAAGGAAAAACAAATTGGCCACATTTTTGTGCGTCATATTGCACGATAGGCAAAGTATTTAGGAAAATAAAAGCGTTTGGGCGGATCCTTCGAAATTTGGCACTTTCCCTGAGGTCAGGAAAGCGTTAAGACCACTGCGATAGAAATACTTCAGGTGGCGTAACGCTGCGCCTCCACCGAAGAGCCGTGGCGTCAAAGATGGGCATGCGATTCTCTCCCCTTCCGCCAGGACGTGCCACCGACACGGAGGTTGGCCGTTGCCGTCCTTGGTGAGCAATAGCGTGCGCCGGGCTCATTGTTGCACAGTTTATCGCTTTGTTTCCGGTCCGTCTCGGCTACCAAAAGTTGACGGCAATGGAAAAAACGTGTTTCGTGCCATGGTGCAACGCAGGATATAAAACATGCACAAAAGAAGACTACCGTCTGAAGGTATGGCGTCACGCGATCCCGCGCAAAGACCACCTACTGCAGCCGACAGACTTAGTCTGCGAGAGACATTTTGAAATAAACTTTGTGAGCAAATCATGGGAAGCCGTCTACAACGGCCACATTCTCGTAAGTGCGCCAAGGAAAGCTGCTCTGGCAAAAGATGCAGTGCCAACAAAGTTCCCGGGGTGCCCCAGATACTTGACAAAGAACGAGAAAAAAAAAAAAGGACCCGCAAACCGTCGGTGCCTACCGCCCACCAAGCAACACCGTGTCACAAAGGAGTGCTCAGAGAGCTCGCATGCTGGCCACAAAGACGATTCGTCACCTGAAGCCTTGCAAGAGTGCACCATGGTCAGTGAAAGTGCACCTGCAAGTTGTGCCGAAGTTGCCGAACCGACTACCACCCTGCCAGTCACAAAACCGTTCGAGAACATCTTCGAAAAGGCAGACAGTGTACCCCTCCCAACTGGCGCCTGGGAGTGTCATAAGGTTGAGGTCGCCGGCTTCCAAACTATTGTGTTCTACGAGTTTTATCCGACTAGAGCAGCGACAACACAAGCAAGTGTTGTGGAAAACGAAGGTGCCTACAACTACTTCTCTGCCCCACCGACTCACATGGTTGCAAGGAAAGTGGTCAGCATTGATGAAGATTTAGGTCTCAATGTGGCTCCGCTGGGTAAGCGAGCAACACTCAAATTCCTCAATCTTTCTGGTGACGTCAGCTGTGTCGAAATGTTGAAGAGTTGGTTGCAGATATGCACCAGGCCTGTTCGTGTGCTGGTGGACCAAGCGTTAAGTCATATCCAAATGTCCACCCAGCAGGTGCTTTTGTTAATGTCGCAGGTCGGTGGCGACACAAGCAATGTGCCTTATTGCTCAAGGACAGTGAAAGTGCGTGCTCACACTGCCAGTGCCTTGTGACTACACTTTGGATTCATGAAAAATGTACGCTGGACAAGACCAGGGATAAGACGTCCTCAATATATCTGCCTGACCACTGCCTGGAACAGCAATGTGCTTGCTTTCAGAAGAGCCCAGTATGCATTGAAGAAATCAGTTGTTCGTCTAGCAAAGAGAGCGCAGTCACTTAACTGCCAGCTGAAGGACACTCAAGCGAAGTTGTCCAGAATTTCTGATGAAGCTCTGGAGGACAAACTGAGTGGTTTGCATATGCCCGAAGCACAAGCAACAGCTATAAAAGAGTGCATTGCAGCTGCCAAATGCACAAACAAGAAAAACATGTTACACTGAGCATTGGCTCCTGCTCTGTCTGCTCTTGCACATCCGCAGCCCGTCGGCATACTCCTTAAAGGGGCACTGACACCCCAAAGGTTGTATTATTTTTTATTGTCTAAAACAATGCAAGTTGTCGTCATAGACAAAGAAAACCGCATCGCGAAAAAAAATTTCCCTGCGCGCGTGCCTTTTTATTTTTGGCGTTTATATTTCCCGCGCTCACCTCCTTGCTGCTGCTTTTGATCGGCGACGTCAAAAATCAGGAAATTTAGAAGCTTTGTAGGCGACATTTCTATACCATTTAATAACGGCAATCGTAAAACATGTTTTCTAACGCAACTGCGAATGCACTACGGCCCCTCTTTTTGAAATACCAAAAATCGGATTTCGGTGTGATGTCGCTACCTGGATTTGTATTCTCTTTCGGAAAACTTGCCGGCGCTCAGTCGGGGAAAAAACTTTTTTTTTCCCGCGCTGGCTTTTATCCCGCCTGCTCACCTCCTCCTCCCCTTGGGTTGCTGTGGCAACGGCAGAGGTCCCAACGAAAGTCGAGTCGCAGGAGACCGCAAAATTTGACTCACTGCACTGGCGCGGATCACGCGGGAACTTCAAGTTCGGCATTTGGAAATTATTTTTTTAATTCAGAAATACTGAATTCCCAAGTTTAGAATTTTGAGGGCAATGTCCCGGCATCATTTTCAATCGTTTCGGATAATAAAAATATACATTATTTTGATGTGTCAGTGCCCCTTTAAGAGACAACAACATCCTGCCGCTTCCTTGTGTACCAACTGTAAGGAAGTACTTACCTATGGTTCGTGTCAAGTGAGGCTTTGACACTCGCTTTTTCTCTGCTTTCAAGAAAAAGCGAGTAACAAAAGATACTTCCAAGAGGCACGGGATCCTTATGTTCGATGAGATCCACGTCCGAAAGGAGATGAGGGTGAATGTAAAAACTATGACCTATACAGGCCATGCAGACTTTGGAAAGGAAGTGGAAGCACCGAACCAACTTGCAGACCATGGACTAGTGTTTACATTTCGCTCTTTTGTCGCAGCCTGTTGCTGTTTTTGCCAGCCGTGGCCCTAAAAAAGGGACTGTGTTGGCACAGCTCATCCTGAAGGCCGTTCTCCTCGAGGATGCCGGCGCATTTGTGGATGCAAGTGTTTGTGACGGTGCTGCGACGAACCGGTCCATGCGGAAACAGTTTGATGAGACAGGAGTGTCAGAGGGTGCAAGGAACACTTTTGTCAATCCTGCATGTGAAGACCGAAAGGTTTTTGTTTTGTTGGATGCACCGCACCTTATCAAGTGTGTACAGAATCGCCTTGTGAAGCAGAAAGTGCTTTGTATTAACGGTGCCTGTGTCTTTTGGTCACACTATGACAAACTTTACGTAGAAGGTACGAAGGCTGAAGGCAAGGAGAGGGCTTGTTTGAAGCTGACGTTTTCTCATTTATACACTCTTCGAACACTGAAAAAATGCGGGTCAAGCTTGCAACTCAGGTGTTCACCCTCAGTGTTGCAAGAGGTCTGGAGTTTTCCTCTAACAGAGGAACCGCTGGACTTGGAAATGTCTAAGGTACAATTGACCTTACAGTGCGGATGAATACCCTTTTTGATGCGCTAAATCGTAGGCACCCAAAGGAAGGTCTAAAGCTAGAAGGCAAACATTTTAGAGAACTTGAATCCTCCTTGAAATGGCTCAATGACTGGGAGAAAGAACTGAAGGCAGGAAGAATTAGTCCTTACAACTTTTTATCACAATCGACTGCTGAGGGACTGCAAATGACCATTCTCTCAACAAGTCACAAGTCACCAGTTGACGAAATGCAATTTCAAGTTTGTGTTAACTGCAAAGTTTAATCGGGGTGTTCTCGAAAAATTTTTCAGAGTGATACGCCAAGCAGGTGGACCAAACAAACATCCCCGCATGCCTACGTTTTTGCAACTGTATAACATGCTTTGTATTTACAGTCTTGTGAAGCCGCCCAAGTACGGAAACTGTAAAGTTCATGCCAGTGAAGAGCTGCATCTCCTAAGCTTGTCTGATTTAACCACAACATTCAAGGAAGATGTTCCGTGCGAGTCGCGACTAGGAGAGCTCGAAAGGAAACTTGACGGTCGAGTTGAAGATGACGTTTAATGTGAGGATCTATTTGATTTGCCCCTGCATCAGCCATTGAATGCATAATTTATTATGTAGCAGGCTTTCTGTGCAAGAAACTGCTAAAAACACAAGCTGCTCAGCATGCAAGACTGGACAAACAGCCACAACTAGTGCTGCATCACTCGTACGACATAACCATTGAGCATGTCCTGGACAATTTCCACTTATTTCCTTGCCAGGAACACAAAGTGGAGGTCATGGTGCACGTTTTACACTACTATGTTGGGATGCGAAGCGTCAGTACTGCAAACAGCTCAACATTCACCAGGCAAACAAAACTCAGTCTGCGCAAGCACTCAGAGGTAGTTCAGTAGACCACTTCTCCTGGAACAATCCATAAAGTTTGAAGAGCAGGAAAGGTCTAATATGGCAGACATTTCAGAAAAAGAAAAAACGAAAGCTTACGAAACGACTGCCTTATTAGATATCTTCAGCTCTTGAAACTTCTTTTATCATTATGTACATTTACTCGCAAGTATTTTTTTTAACAGAATCAGCGTTACTTTACCTGGAAGTGCACGAGTAGTGCAGTGTTGACTTTTGTTTGTGAAATGCTGCTCTTTCCTAAAAATGAAAGGCTTCTCTAACTTCTCTAATAAACAAAATTTATAAATCAAAGCATATCTCTGCCACGTTTCGTTTATCTGCCAGAACTAAAGTTCAACGAGTCCTCACTGTCGGTAGGCCAGCTGCATCAAAGAATTTTAGTTGACCGTTTTAACGGAATGTTGCAATAAAAAAAAAAAAAAGTTGCATGCTGCCAGAAGGCACTTTATGTATTAGTTGTAAGTGAGGCTCATGAACATAGACATCTTTTAAAACTTATACCAAAAACGTGCCGTTTTTATTTTAAAATAAACTTGTTTGTACAAACGAGAGAACTGTTTTGCCGGCGGTGCCCAATTGGAGCGTACTTAATACGCAAATAGCGTACCGTCACCACGGCGTCCTGTTTTTCGCAATCGACTATGAGCCGCTTGCATGCTGACAAAGCGCTCGAGTGTTCTTTGCTTCAGAAAGGAAGGAAGCACGCGCCATACGCACAAACGCTAGAAATGACGCCAGCAAAAACCCCTTTTTGGAATGGTTAATAGCCTTATATAATATCAGAAATATCCACTGCCGCTTAAAAGTACTTTTCCCTACACTTTAGTTTGTGTAAAGCTTCGCTGCAGTTGCCGAACGCTTCACTCCGTGCGTAGCAGGTGGTCTCACCGCCTCGCGTAGACCTTGATGTGTGTGGCAACATCTGGTGGCGCGTATGAGAACCGGGGACGAAAGTTTGACGCCTTCGAAGGACGTCACACCCCCTGACCTTTCTTACACAGTGGTTAAGACTAAATCATAGTCGCCCATTGATACTTAGCCATGCACCAAACACTCTGTAGAGTGCGCATTATCGATGTCCCCGAGGCTTCTGCACCGCATTGTCGCATCAATATCCGGACTGGGATCTCGCCCATCAACCCGAACATAGATTGCCAAGAAAAATGGCAGCTTTAAAGAAACATTCGACGTTTCCCTGGGGCAGGTTAGGAACCGACCTGTCCGGCCTTGGAGATCCTGCGCAGGAAGTGTAGGGGGATGGGGCGGCCCAGGCTCCAGTCCAGCCTGTTGAGGATGGCCTTCTCCATGCGCAGCACCTCCCCCTTGGAGTAGGCCCCGTCCGTGACGTAGACAAAGTCGTCCACCACGGGGGCGTACATCTCCTCGTACTTGGCGGACAGGAACATGGAGGCCGCTCCCACCAGCTGCAGCTTGGAACGGGGCACACACTCCGCCTGCACTCCAGGACGGGTGGCACTCTCAGCGTGCGAGCCAATCTTTGCTACCACTCTACTTTTCATGCGCTTTCCCCGCATTAGCATCACCTTCTGTTGCTCTGTCCCGACTTCTGTCCCAGAAACATCTCGGACCATTTGTTTACGTCGCGCTATGTTGCAGGGGCATGTGCCTGCTTAATGCACGAGACGTCCCTGCCTTGTTCAAAGCTGCAGTCCACCACAGACCGATGTATCGAGGGTAAGTTATAAGCCGAAAGCACAGCTTGCAAACAGTTTTAAAAATCCCCCAGCTCCAACACTTTTCTGCGTTGGAGCTGGGGGATCCTCTCCTGGGCAGGAATTCTGAAGAAATTTTAGAGTTCCTACAGGGAGGAATTTTTAAGGGGACAACAGGTTTTTCCATTGACGTGGAGGACCTTTTCTATTCGGTCCCTCATGAACATCTTTCTGAGGCTGTCAGACCTTGTATTGAGAAAAAATGGAGAGGTTCCATTTCGCAATGCGGGCGGTCTCTCAGTCAAAGGTTTTTTGGAGCTGCTGAACCACTACCTTAACTCCACTGTTGTTTCCTTCGAGGCAGAGCTGTTTGTGCAGAAACGTGGTATCTGTATCGGTTCCGCTGTGGTCCTGTGTGACATTTTTTCTTGCAAATTGCAACGAGCGTATATTTGAAAAAATGCAACAGAAGGAACAAGTAAAAGTTGTTCGCTGCATAGATGATTATTTGGTGTGCGTGTCCCGCCCTGTAATTGGGGATGATCGAGAGATTGCGGGTTTTTCTAAACTGTTCCCAAGCTGTGCTTTCGGCTTAAAATTCAGCCGACCGCAGACATGGGCCTGTGGTCGGCTGCGCTTTTAGGATCTTGGGTTGCATTTGGGCGTGGAGTGTGCCTGCTGGGTGAATGAGCCCCGTTAAAAACGGAATGGTGCCGTTCAGCTCGGTGCACTCCAAGTTGGTGAAGCGGGGCGTTTAGGGTGTCTAGCAAATTATTATCTCAAATTTCCCCGACTTTTCCAGGTATTCCCCGACAATTTCAGATGAAATTCTGTGACCACTGCAGAGGCAGATAAATATACAAGACCATTACAACACAGTGCATTGAGCATTGGACACTGTGAGGATCATTTAGCATAAGCTCAATCCAACTTGCACATTTCAAAATATTTGGGTTCGTCCAGTCCGGATTAAACGAGCACTTTCTTGCCACTTCCGTAAGGGAACATGATGAAGACACGACATGCAACCACACACGTCAATAACCGAATGGCAGCATGACCGCCAGATTCACATTTTCAGATACTTTTTCAGCTTGGGTTAAATTGGATTGGGGTTTGTGGCTTTCCAATTTGTTACTACATCTGGTAGCTCTAACTGGATCTAGCCTAGTGTCAAGCCCTCAATCCAATCCAAGGCTTGAAAGGGATTTATCGGCTGTTCCCTTTGCATCGTGTAGCAGACTACATCGGGTAAGCAGAGCCTGCGCTCCGCTCTAAGCAGAATCTATTGCCTATTTTTCTGCCCTCAAGTCCTCAAGTCTTAGCTCAGGGAACTCAATGGCATTTCCGGCTCCCTGACTGGGCTCGTGTTTTTGACGATATCCCCGATTTTTCCCGGCAATTAAAATTTCCCTGACAATTCCCGGTTCTCCCTGGGCATTGCTTCATCTTGCCTAAGGGCTGAGGTAAGGAAATCTTGCCCGCACCGGATGAAAAACAGCTTTCATCCTCAGCTCAGCAGAGGAAGCACGTTCTTCGAGATGGTTCCGAGACCTTAGCAGAAAAGACGAAAAACTACAACAGCGCAGTGTGCGAAAGGACTCCCAGGAGGATCGGTAGGCCTGTTGTCTCGCCTCACATTCACAAGATGTCCCACAACCTGAAGAAGATGGCCCATCGCTTTGACATACCAGTCGTTTTTTCTGCACCGAACAAACTGTCTTCACTGTGTAAAAGGATAAGCAGATTGGGAGAGGAATCGGTTGTGCCGCAAGAGTCCCGCAGAAAACGACACATCACTAAGCTCCGCAAGTGTGCCACTAGCGTCACGTACAAAATTCCCCCGCGGTAAGGTGTGCGTTGGCCAGCCGGGGAGGTGCATCAATGATAGGGTCGGAGAGCATGCGTCGGCCATCAGGCAGTCCCCCCGTCTGGCCACCTAGCGGTCCACTGCGACCATTGCGAATGCGGGCCCAACTCTGGAAAGTGCAACCCCATTTTTGGTGACACCTGCGTCATGGGCCATTGCAAAACAAAAACTGCCAGAGAAATTCACGAAGCCTTCCGGATTAGGTCGCACCAGGACAATTCTTGCGTAAGCGCACCCTCTTTGTCCTTGTCTGATAAAGAATTATACTTCTTGAAGAACCAATGATGCTGGCACTTGAGGGGGGTGTGGTTTTAGACCGTCTCTTTGTGCTCTGCCAAGTGTGCCTGCTTTTATATTATTAAAATTGTGTCGTAGAAATAAACCACTCGGTTCAAAGTTACGCCGTGTCCTATCCAGTTCTCTCTTCGTCCTTGTTTTGGCATTGCACCAGAATGCCCATCGTGAGGTGCAATGAGCGAGAGATATGCAACCACTTTTTACAATCAGCCGTGCCCTTTCCTCACCGAGTTTAAAATGGCTGTCTCGTGAGGAAACTCAATTATAGAAATTAAGTTAAATATATGAGCCTCGCAATGATGCAAAAGTTCAAGCAGAGACTCCAATTCAGTTTGTCAAGCACTAATTATTTCGTAACAATTTGCCTACACCAGGTACTGTATCCCGAGCAAGCAGCCACAAAAAATTTGGAGAATCGTGCAAAACTGGAAGACGAGCGCTCCTTAGGTCAACATATATGAGAAGATACACCCTTCGCATATTTTGCCAATATTACAAAACTGAGGGGTGGACGCTTATCGTAGGATGGGCGGACGCTCTGTATGGTACATCAGGCCTAGATTTCGAAAAATGCAGAATATATAAAATGTTCCCCATTTTGACGACAAAAAGCTCCGCAAAAACTAGAGTTCTAGCCTAAAAAGGTTTTGAGCTACAATAACTCGGGTCAACCCCCGTGACAGAAATGCCACGAGCCGAGCAGATGCCCATTGGGGTGAACCGCAAGACGAGAAGAAAAAAATGTCGCAGGATTTGCGCGCTCATGAGCACCCGTTGGGCCCGTAGGAGCCACGGCTGTCAATGACCGGTCGTCAGTTTCACACTCAGTTTATGTCACGTTCATCTGGGGCGTGCGCGGCACCGAGAAAATGCTGCCCTCAAGGCCATGCCACTGTAGATGCACCACATGACGCGCTACCAGGCGAACGCAAAGCATCCCGCCGTGCGACGCGCTCGGTGCGGTCACTGCAAGGGCCAGACATGAACGGGTGGACGGTTAAGTGATTCGCAAGAGTGGGGCGGCGGCTCGCGCCATTTAGTGAGCAATGAAAGTAACATAACGTAAGAACAAAAACACATGGACCATGAAACAAAGCGTTTATACATACGGGTGGTTTCATTTGGATTCAGGCAACGAGGTGCAGTCGTATCTTTTATTTTGCTTCAAAATTTTGTATTTTACCCACCATCGGCATTTGCTCTTTTTTAGCATACTTAGAGGCTTAAAACTCAAAAACAGTGCATATACCTCCAACGGAATGTATGCTGGGTAAAAGAAGGGTGTGAAAAGAATGCAACAAGAGAAAAAGAAAAAAAAAAAAATTAAAAACTTTTTTTTATTATACAGCATGCTGAAATTGAGCAAAAAGTGAAAACCCTCTCCGTTTCATAATTTATTTCTCAATACTCGTACATGATAGAAATGCAAACTTCGCTTAATTTGGAAGGCAATGAAAGGTTCTACACGTGGTATTATTTTAAAAGCGATACTAAACATAGTCGACTCCAAACGAAATCCGTAATTTAGGTCACAGTCGTTCGCGGAGGCATGTTTAAGGATTTTTACAAAGATTGGAGCGACAAATAATAAATAGTAGTTATAATGTCGTCTTAGCTACTTGCAAATATAGCACACTACAAAAATGTAGACACTCTTTTGAATACTTCGAGATTGAGAGCGATTAAAAAAAAAAGGATTGTTCTTCTTGGAACATGTGCCACGTAATAAAAAAATTTGAAGCAAAATAAAAAAAGATGACCGCATTTCGTTGCCCGAATCCAAATGAAACCGCCAGTATGCAATTTCATTGTCGGATTGGTGAGAAGCGATAGGTCCACGTTCGGTGTGAAAATCAACAGAGGCGGCGGCACGCGGGGGTTAAAATATAAACAATAAATGTATGTGCGATAAAAAGCAACACACTGCGAGAACACGACAAAACCATCAGAACGAAATGCGAGCACGGGTTACTCCAACAACACACTTGCTGCTCGCGACACAAACTGCAGCCGGGAAACAAGTTCGCCGGTGCAAAGACGACAAAAGTTCCGAAAAAGGGAAGTCCACTGCGGGACCCAAAGTCCAGGGAAAAGTTCGAGCAAAGTCCAAAGACTCACCGACGTCTTGGGTCGGAAGAAAGACAAAGGCTTCATGCGCCCGGCGTGGTAGGCTGGTTGCTCGGCGGCCGACACAACGCAGCACCGCACACACACACACACTTCTCGAAAATGGAAAAACCGATGTCTGTCATCACTGCTGGAATCTTAGCCAGAGCAGAGGGCTTGAGGGAAAGAAGATAGCAGCAAATACCGTGGAAGCAAATACTGGCAACTCCCGCGGAAAACGGGCGAAAAGTGATTGCAGCGCCCCTGGCGAGCTCGGAGTCTCCGCTGGCAGACAAATTCGCCAAAATCCATTGGTTTTGCCTATCTCCGTGCGAGGTGAGCAACGAAAAAAAATTGTCCCGGACATTCGCTGCTTTGAAAGTTAAAAAATGGGTGCCAGCTCATGAGTGAAGAACATTCTCTTCGCGTGGGGAAGATGTTACAGCTTTCTGGGTGCAATCTCGGAGTTCTCCCGAAGAAAACATTCTGTCACAACTTATGTAAGCCAAGCAAAACACGAATGTATGCCTTCGCGCTGTTTCGTGAAAGAGGGAAATGTACAAACATTTCAGAACATAGCTTCGTTTCAACTTTATTGTTCTTACCAGTCAATTCGTTTTGTTGTTGCAATTCCCATTTCTCATGAATGTCTTGCTTACAACCGTTTCGTCGAACAGGCGAGCTGGCTAATCCCGTTAAGATCATCTCCGGATGAAGAAGCAGAAGTCAATTTCAAACCACGTAAGTTACGGCGATGTTAGTATGCTCCGAAAGAAGGCGTTGTGCATATGCAAATCTGACGCGGTTATAGATTAACAAAAGCGGAGTTACGAAAAAAGCAGACTTCTCGTGCTTGCAAAGAAAGAAGGGGAGAGCGTCGTAGCCCCGCGAAAAAAGGTGATTTCAGTCAAGTTATTTACAGTGCACAAATTCCGATTGTTAGCGCGGGGACGACCAACATCTTCTGCTTCGCTGCTTCTTTACTTCTACGATAAAGGCCGACTTTCGTTGAACAGTCTCCACTCTTTCCATTTTTGAGTCTTCTTTCTTTTATATTTTTGAGGCGCCGCCACTCTGCCGCGTTATTTCTTCCTCCTGCTTATATGTTGCTGTGTATATTTTTTGTTTGCTTTTTGCTTTTTTTTTTTGCCCGACAGGTAAACCATCCCGTATCCGTGCTTTGTTTGGCTTAGCTTTTACTCCCTTTCCTTCGCTTCGGCGCTTAATGCCCCCGGTTCGTCTGCTACGCTAGGCCCGGGCATTTTAAGGGCCGTCTGCAACTTTGCTGTTGCTCTTGTTTTCTTCCACTGTCATCTGCCATAACCTCCTATTTTCGCCTTCGATTGAGTTTCTAATCTAAAATCGTTATATGCGCTTTTTGATATTTTTTTTAATATATTAAGAAGTGTAAACTGGTTATCCATTTTTATTCGAATTTTATTTGTGTACTCCGGCCGGCACGTCTGCTACGGGTCATCGTTTGTTGATCAATCGGCCTCATTTGAGCATACACCAGAGCATACTTAGAGATGGCAGGCATGCCATGTGCTGCCTACCATTGCAAGAACAAGTTTGTGCGATGTGGTGGAAAATCTTTCTTCTGCTTCCTACGTCAACCTACGGACACCTACGTCAACAAGTACTTGAATGCACTTTTAAACTGCTTCGTCAAGCGAGCGAACGAACAACCTGCCAAAGTCACTGGAAAAAGAAATTCGAAAGCAAAAAAAGGTGACTCACTGCTAGCACATATTGAAGATTGCTGCATGCGACCAAAACATTTCTGCGACTCTTTTTTACCGGGCAGTGTGAGCTGCACTACGTTATTTATTTCCCGTGTTTTGTTTTTAGTTCGTACCTACGCCGCGAAATCAAATAAACGAACGTAAAACAAGCAGCTGAAAAAAGGAACGCTTTCTTCTTTATTCATTAGTTTCGTGTGTTGCTTCCGCTTTGTTTGTTGTGAACTCAACACCGGTGGCGACCACCAGCTATTCATTTGCTGCATTCCATTTTTCTTTCTTTTTTTCTATAAGCGCCGCAACGATAGTCGTCGTTGAAATAGTTTTTTGCTAGCTTCTTTGTTTTATTCGCCGTAGGTCGCTTCTCTTTCCCGTTTCTTTTTATTTTCGTCGGAAATGGCAACACCATCTTTTCTGCAAAGTTCGGTAAGTGGTTGCACGGTCATTTTTATCCTTACTTTTTGTTTTGTTTTTATACTCCAGCAGCTCGTGCGCTTGCTCTGGTAATATTAACACGTCGTTTTTGCATGTTTTAATGATTACAACGTAGTTCGAGTAGCTAAACGCCTTTTTTCCGCTTCCCAGATGCGTTTCAACCGCGTGTGATCCCCTGAGAGGCGTTTGAGACCGCCAAGTAACTGCTCTATCTTTTGTTTATGCGCGCGTTGTTATTCGATTGTCGTTGCAGTTGCGATCAGTGGATTCCGCTTTGCAAGCGGACTGACCGCAATAAATTGTTTCTGCTGTTAGGGTGACGAAACGGGGGCTCGTAAAGCTCGAGGACGTCGCGGAGCCTAGACTTTTCCATTGCGTCGACTGCTTCCGTAGACTCCGAGTCCGCTAGAGGCGCCACTGTCACGTTCGCCGCCGCTCCTATGGGTTTTCGGAGGAGTTTCCAGTATTGGCGAAGCTATATTGTATTTGATAGCAGTGCCGACATCGCGTTCTCTCGGGCCGCCATGTTTTGCGAGACGAGGAAGGAAGGCCGACGACAATGCGAGAGAGAGAGAGAGGTGCCGAAGGAAGCGGAGAGCGTTCACTCAAGGACCCAGTGCAAGGACCTGCATGGTCTCCCTCAGGGGCAAATCCAGAACTCCGTTTTGGGAGGGGGGGGTGGGGGGCGAAAAATTTGTGGGGATACTTTTCTCCCATTCTTTCTTGTGAGCAGGCGGGTCCACCCATGTCAAATTGCCCTCCTAGAAAGGGGGGGGGGGGGGGGGGACCAACCCCAACGCCCCCCCCCCCCCCTTGGATTTGCCCCTGGTCTCCTTCCAACGGTGCTGCACGCCGCATAAAGTTCCAAGCGAACACAGTGCGGCCGCACTGATTCAACCAGGCGAATGTGACGCGTGTGCCGGTGCAGCACAGTACGCCTCAGACGAATGCGACATTAAAAAGAGACGTCGCGAGACACAAAAAAGAAACCCAGAAAATCAAAACTTCACTCGTCAAGCTATCGACACGATGGCAAAGCGAGTGTTCCGAAACGGGCCTCCACGCCCACCAATGGTGTCCGAAGGACGCTCTTAAGGGGAGACGCGGGTCTTAAAATGGTCAAAAAACGCGAAATTTCACGTTTTTCAAAATTCACTTATTTGGATTAATTGTAGTCTAAGGTACCTGCCTGCAAAGTTTCAATGTCGAATTCAATGTCTAAGCATGAAAAAAATGATATGTACGATGTCCCCGCAGAGCCCTGACACAGCGAGTTCAATGAAAACAAGTGGAACTTCGCGCCCCGCGCGTTTCGCGATCGCTCGTCGGATCGCGGCCATCTTGGTCTTGTTGGAAAGCCGCTTATTTTCCCCACGTCCCCATGCCATTCGTTATCGCGACAACATCGGGGAACGTCCGCATTCCGCGGGTTTCGAAGGCCCCAATTGCGATCGCTCATTGGCCGGCTAGCAAGGTGCCCATACGTCGGAGCACGCGCGGCGCCTAGCGCCCCTGCTATTGGCCTAAACGCGCCCCTCCGCTCTTTTTCTTCTTTCCTCCTTTCCGTTCCCGCGCTGGCGAGAGGTGCGTCGTCTGCTCCTGGGCCCGTCTCCGCCCGTCTCCTTAGGCCTGTCTGCTTTGTTTCTTCCGTGGTCGAGCGCACGTTTTAGTTCCCGTTTGCGCGCTTGCGTTGAACATTGTTGGTTCGTTTTCCTACGAAGTCGCGCGTGTTTTGTTTTGTTTCGCTTCGAGTTCTCGAGATGCCGGACGACGCTCGGTTGAAATCGAGCGCGCGGCAAGCGTTCGGAAGGAAGAGGAAGCGACCGTGGAACAAAAAGTCGAAGCTGTGTGCTGCAAGTGCGCCACCGCGATCGGCACCGCCGGATGCCTTGGATCTTCCGGAAACATCAGCCGGAGACATCGCGACTCCATGCAGCAGCGGCAGTTTGTCGAGCTTTGCGAGCGCGGTTCGTGTCGACACCGCATACTACTCCACGGCCGAGCAGGCGCAACGAGTCGCACGATCGGACGAATGCAAGTGTGCGCTATCGGAAAAGTCGGCGACCCAGCGCAAATTCGACCTTCTCGGCGTCACCACAGGAGGCCAGACGCGCGACGCTGGGACACAGTTCATTGAAGTGGACATGAAAGCTCTCAAAGCATGGAGAAGGACAATCTGCGTTTGCGTAAGGCCAATACTGCCCACCAGAGCAGCAGCAATGCAAAGCAGAGGTTCTCCAGGCAACACCAAACTGGAACAGCTGGGGACTACAGTCCTGGACAGCTGTGAGGGGCTCCCCTTTCAAGTGCTACACGAACAAAGGCCCTTTTCAGGGCCAAACAAATCTGCTTTCGGAACGTGCAAGCCTTGGTGCCTCCTCCCGTTGTCCCTTATAGAGTCTACTCATTCTTTTATAACTTTATTTTACATTGCAGACATTATTTCTCAGTTTTATATTATTTTTTAAAGGTTCTTGTGAACGGATTGCAGAATTTTTCATCTCAATTTGTTCATATAGAACTATGCTTCATATTGCTGAACATTATTGCATGGGATCCCTTGCTCAATTTTATGCAATGAGTGTCAAAACTTCAACTGCAATTTTCTCAGCTTCGCATTTTTCGTCTACATGCCTAGCCTTACGGTTGTTTTCATGAGATTATTCTTCAAGGATTTCTATAAACTTTATACCGTTGAATTCAGAAAGAAGTGAACTGCAGGGTGATGCTATTTTTGTATGACAGTATGGGCCCGAAATTTTATTATTAGTGATAATGTGACCTCGTTAGGCTTTGTAAATAGTGTACTTGACCTAATTAGACTAGTTTTATACAATGATCTATCTTTACAAAAATATAAATAGCATCATCTTGCATGAGAGGTCTTTAGCTACAAATCCATATCACTTATGCAAAACAATTCGTATTAGAAAGTTCCTTAATGAGTCGTAAGCAATGACCTAATTAGGCTTCATTATTTTCTTCGTAACTCAAAAAGTAATTGAGATATTGCAGAACTAATTGAATATTTGAAAAGAGGAAGCCAAAACACATATACACACTGATTTTCATTATAATCCATTAATAAACAAAAAAGTCGATTTTAGAACCAGTGTCTTGCCTTAAGGCAGGTGCCAAGACTACTGAACTATGGGGAGGGAAAGGGCACCTGAAGGAAGCGGTCGATGACAGACACGGTGAGGAAGAGCGTCTCGGGCAGCAGCTGGAACCTCTTGTGCACCTGCATGAGCCAGTTGACCAGGATGGCCCGCATGTCGCCCGTGATGTGGGGGCTGTGTCTCAGGTACTGGTCCTTTACCGGGAACGCCTCCTGCGAGATCCAGGTACAGCTCTACTCACTGCATCCTCAAAGTCCCCCCAACATCCTAAAGTGTCCATCCCGGCAGACGTCCATCCTGCCCCAAGGTCGCTTCCAGATTTAGTTGGATGAACAAAGGTTGCTCAACGGAGGCACAGTGGTCATTCTCCCGTAATCAAGTAGCGACTAGCGCCACCTTGGGCAACTTCACTCCATGCAGTCGGTCAAAAATATTCCTTACGCAATTATCAATCGCTTGTCTGAGCTTACTAATGTTTTATGGCATCTTTTACAATTTCCGGACATCTACAGAGAGAAATCCCCGGCATTCTAGGTTTTCCTGGTCAACACACAGTTCCCAACATGGACCTTTTCGGCTAATCCGTACCGATTAACCACATCAGGGGTGGAACTCATGAAATGTACTTGGGAGCAGCCACGGGAGCAGCTGAAACAGCTGTTTTGGACCAGGTTGGGAGCAGCTAAAACTACATTCTGGAGCAGGCTAGGAGCAGCTCAAATCAGTTTTCATTGCACTTCAGCTTGAGTCTTAGACAAGCACGGAGCAATTTTCAATTCTGCTTAGCAGCACAGATGAACATGAGTGGTTAGGAACCTAGGTAGATGGGATAACAGTTTAACAGATGAGAAAAATTGAAACTTTGTGAGCCTTATTGAGAATCAAAAAGCCGGTACCCCATGTTTATGAAGATAGCGTCCTCAATATTTTCTGAGTGGCTTTCAGCTGCTCAAAATGCAAACCAGCACTGCTTATCGCACAACCCACAGATGCTCGACATAGTAATTATATGTGCGAACCACGTGACATGCGTAAACAACGGACACGCAGCTGCGCGGAGGAACAGGGCAACACATTTCGAGTTTATCCTATTGTGCAACTCAATATCGAAGCAGCAGACTACTATTAACAAAGTTATTGTATTTGAAGCGATAAGCGGGAGCAAGGTTAATGTACGCCGAGTAGATCTATCACTCGCGCAAGAGATGCTGGCCGAAAAGGTTTCGAATTGGACCGCGTTTCAGTTCTATCAAATCAAGATTTATCTTGCAAAATGCGGTTCTACCTCCTAACGATGAAGTACTAAAAGGAATCTCTTGCTCATTTTTTTTCCACTGGTTGACTTCTGGATCCCGGGCCGCAGAGCCTCAGGCAATCTGACGCTTAACGACTCTACCTCACCTCAGCCGACTTGCTTAACCGCTTATGGTTGAAGAATAACAATCCAGTCGCAGGTGGTGTAGTGTTTAAAATCCTAGTTTTTTCGCACGCTTCCGGCTCTCGATACACAGGGAGAATAAACAGAACAAAGGATTGCAAGGCCAACCAAGCTAAACGTGCTCATTGTGGCCAAGCGAGTCAATAAAACCGAAACCAAGACAAAATAAAAAGATTTTTGGCCCACATTATATGAACTGGCGCATATTGGCGCAAGATACTGGCTGTGGCGCAGTTTCTGCAAAATGGCGCAGGATGGCGCAGCCGTTCTACCCCTGCCACATCGGTATCGCCGTAAAATGTTGGAATTCCGGCATAGTAGACCTCTTTTCACATATACGGGGTCGCTCCTGAAGTAATTCCTCCTATTCTATCGTTAGCCTGAGAAGGCACGAGCGGATGTGGCTAGTACCGCGGTAGGATTGAAACCTTCTCAACAATATTCGGTCAATTTTCTTTGCCACGCAACAGACGGCACTGCGGGGAGACTGACCAAAAGGCGTAAAAAATTTAGGTGCATATAAAGCAAATTTGTGCAATTGAGCTCCTGTGCGCAGAAAGTAGCCCATTAAAATGTGTCTAAAGTTCACGAAACATTTAGGCAAATCCAATGGCGATGGGAGGCCAATTTTAGGTCCGATTCTAACGGCGTTAGGGCCACGTTAAGGACGGCCATGCACAGCTATTGCACAGCAAAATGATTCTCAACCAGCTTATCTGATTACGGCCACACTAAACCAGACAAGGAGACATTGCACGTCTGACTAAGCAAAAGGCCCCAATTTCCAGGGTCTCTCAGCACACCAGGCCCCATGGGCGATTTCATCTCAAATCGTGAGAGAAAAAGTGACGGTTAAAAACATTAACTGCCCCATGGAGCAAAACCGCGTTCAGCCCCAAAACTCCCCTGTTTGATGGAGCGAAGCCTGTGGTCTGTAGCAGCGAATCGATGGATAGACTCCCATCGGCTGGCAAGAGCACCATAGTTCCCCACTGCCATGGCGCAGCGGCCCGGCCATCACAGAGGGGGAGAATGGCCCGACTCTGGAGAGCGGCTGGCCGCAGAGTACGCCCTGGCAGCACCCGCACAGGTCGCCCAACTGGGCTCGGCGTGGCATGCAGCTTGCAAGAATATGCTATGGAGTGTACAAACGCTCTTGCATACCGACACGTTAGCAGTCTCAAGTGTCTTCGTATTTTATTCTATCAATAACGGGCCAAGTTTGAATTGAGCTAGCTTTCGATGTACAACGCTTACTTCACGAGAGCGGAGAGGCTGCGAGCCTACCAAAGGTCACGTCGCGGGCATGCATGCTTCTGCTTGTCACTCCAGTAGAACTACAGCATACAAAACCGTCGAGCAATGCGATCAAAGCAGTTGCCGTCTGCACAACAGAGAAGGTTTGTTTCCCATCTTAGTTCGTATCTGGCCGACATTCAGCTAAAGTTTGTGTTTGGAAATCAAATTACGATAGCCGCAAGTCTTTCGAAGAAGGCCCGGTTCATTCGAACCCCGGATAATCCGGCCCTGCCACTACAACGTGGTTCGCCTTAAAAACCCGGGGCTAGCGGCGGTACCAGACCGGCCAAATGAAGCCGGACCGAGGCCAGCCAGGCGGTAAGGGAGCCCACCTCGAGCGAGACGAGGTAGTCGAAGATGTCCTTGGCGTACTGGGCACACAGCTGGGGCTCGTCCCGGTCGCCGGAGTCAATGTCCGGCACGCCGTCGGGCAGCAGCAGCTGGCTCGAGAAGGAGGGCTTTTCAAGGGGCTCCACGCAGAGCCCGGCCACGTCCAGGGACGCCACCTGCAACCACCCGTCCGTTCAATGGCACAAAGTCACCACGGATTGTACGTGGTTAGCACGCGACGTCACCGCCATTCCTCGCTGAGGAAAACAAATTAGACGGCGCGAAACGCGCCCCTCGGCCTCGAGCCTGCCGCAATGGCCACCGACGAGGGGTTGGCGGAGCCACTTATAATGCGCTGAAGACGTTAAACGATCGATCGACAACGGTGCATCCGAGGCTGTATATCAGCACAACTACTGCGTGCACTACTTGTAAAGGTGTGCACACGGGCAGAGTAATGTGTTGTGGGTTTTGCGCCAAGCTTTCTACTCTCAATCGTCTCGCTTACTGCCCAAGTGGAAAGAGTGTAGGGCTCGTCCAAAGGGGCCAACTACCCGCAACAGACTGTAGTGCCCATACCTATTCCTCAAAATTGGCTCGAAGAAACTTGCAAAGATATTCAACGTTACCCTCACTATTTTTTTTAAACAGCCTCCACCAGCGACACTAGAGTGGTGGGCACTGTTTGGGCAATAGAGCTTCTCAAGTGGTCGGAAGAACCTTAATACGACGATGCCTAGTTTATATGGACAACTCCGTTCCTCGTAAAACTCGTCCGTAATAATAAAATAAAATGTGCCCTATTTCCTAGTTCGTCCCCGCAAATGGTGTCCACATAGTGCGGTATTCATATTAACGGGAACCATAGTAACGGGACGCATCATTAGAGTAAAATCAGTGCCGTCAAAGCTCGCACGGGCACTTGCGCGCCAACCTGAAACCGAGAAACAAAACGTGCGGGACATCCCGCATTTTAGACTACTTGCTCCACCTTCGAGCGTGTCAGTAATGCCACGCCACCGGAAAGCACGAAAACATTTGAGTGTTACTTTTGCCATCACATTTTCTCCGAAGTTTCTTTATAGGCAATCTGATTTTAGATACAAAATAGCAGGCCAGGAAGAGCAAAGCTCAGCGATTAAGGAAACAGTTTGCATCTAGCTTAAGGAAGTGGCGGAGTACACCCTGAATCTAAAAAATAGCCATCTTAAGTCCTTGCACCTTTCTAAAGTTTTTAATAAATATCAATTGAGCCGCGACCGAGAGTGTTTTTGCATTGCACTTCCGTTTTTCTCCAGTCCTGGGGCTTCGTCTCGTTTCCCATCTTGTGAGACATGGGAGTGTGCCTTCACGAAGCTAAGGCCATTTGGGAATTGTGATGGGTAGCCTGCAAATTTGCGCTTTCGAGAAAAGCTTCGAGCTTGTTTCAAGGGCCCATCAGATACCAAAGACTGAGGAATTTTGATCCACTTACAGGGTCTGCCGCTGGCACTTCCTTGGCTGTGGCATGGTTCGCACCGACCGCCGCGCGAGCCCGAAGTGTTGGCTTCTTGGGTTCCGGACACTTTGCTGCCGTTGACGACTGCGAAAAAGATGGCAGGGTTCAACATTTATTTTCGTAGCTGCAATCCCACGTGAGGAATATGCTGCTTTCCCACCGCAAAACTATACATCGCTCAATGCCTCCAAACGTAGTAATGGGGTTCAGATGACAAAGTTTCGGAACCTATAATCATTGAATGAAAAACTCGAGCAACGTTTCGGAAATTTCCCATCAAGAAATGGGGCCAGCTTCCAATGGAAGATGCCATCGTCTTCGTTGGTAGTTCCTCAATCTTCCAATAAACATTCGTAACGTTCGATTTGAATATTGGCACGTTCGAAAACTGTTCAATTTAGAATTTGTTTCCCGTTGTACACATTGCTAACACTGTAAAGCAAGATGCAGTGAGCCAGGCTGTAACTAACTGAGAATGGCACGTGGCACCCTTTTGGGCTCTACGAAAGGAGGTAACGATTTAGAGAGTAAGAAGTTGAGCGTACAGAACCAAATGCACCTCAAAAGAATTCACGAAACGCTGCAAACCGATCGCACGTTTTCTCTGTGGCACAACAATAGGAACTCTTTCCTAAACTTGCAGTTGGTGACAGGTTAAAGAGACAACCCCAGCATGAATACTTTTATTGTTGCAAACAACCGAAATTTATTCTCAGGAATCGCCCAAAATATTTTAAGCTTAGACACTACATAGCTGAAGAGAAAACTTTTTTCTCAAAAAGCTAGATTTGAAAATTTTGCACATATCTGCAACTAGAACCCGGCATATCAGACACTCTTTTAAAGCGTTCATAAAAAAAAGTATCGATGCTGGGGCTGGGAGTGGCCCTTTAACTCTTCTCATAGCACGCCCATAGGCAATCCTGCGATCGATGGTTTCCGCCCAAGTTGGGGCTGGGCACGCACAAACACATCCCGTGGATAGCCAGACTACAGTCTTGGTTTGGCTTCGTGCTTTCTCCCAACCTGGTCAGAAAATCCCTGTCAAGCGATTGTTAAAAATTGCATCCTGCTGACATTGAGGATGATTACAAGGGTAGGCTTAGTTGCCCCATACGATTGGCCTAGAGACCGACCTAGAGGTGGTGCTACTGTTGCATTATCATCATCATGATCAATGCTGGAACAGAAGCATGGCCGCCCCCATGTTTGGAGTCTGAATGTTAGGAGTCTGAACAATTTTACTATGTTGCGATGAGGAGAGAGTACCTCTTCTAGTTACGATCCTGAAAGTGTTTGTCGACAGGACAACTGAGACAAGTGCAACAAACTATTCTAATATATCTGCCGCGAGTGGAACAAACAAGTGTAATCGAGCAACACTGTAGCATGAGTGCTATTAGATGCCTTTCTCGGTAGTGTGGGTTCACCGCTTCAATTTTTTCAGTGAGGGCCGCGGATGGCAAGAGGCTAATATTATGAATTTCTGGCTAAATACTCTTATACTCAAACATAGTAGAGCCTGCGACTCCAACGACCGACCTGCACCAGGACACAGACAGCATCGGCCGCAGCGACACCCTTTTGCTGTTCAGGCCTAGCGACTCCCACGAGACTTTTGGGACACCCTCCGGGACTGTGGAGTTCATCGATTAACCTTCAGATTATTCGAGTGGTGGTTACTTGTTTGTTCTTTGCATTTATATGAACTTTTCTGTTGGAGAAAGTAAAAAATACCTGTTTCAATAATTCTGACTGTTTTTCCTTTTAGGACACAAGCTTGCACGGTAAACCACTTCAACATATGAACAGATGGCAAAAAGGGTACAAGCACTCGTCTTAAACGCAGCAGGATATCAAAATTTATTCAGCCGAGTTCGACATATCTGCGTGTGTCCCATTTTTGTCATTTCTTCGACTTAAAAATGTGTCCCAGTCTAGCTCTTTCGACTTCATGGCAGATATGTCAATTAGATATTGAAGGCTCCCCAGAACCTGACGAAAATACACCCAAAATTTCTATCGTTCGTTTTTCTTGCCCCATCAATGCACAAACGGAGTGCTGAAAGGACTGAAGGAATGAATACAATGAACGAAGTGAAGAGCTTCACAGAGCATTTTCTTTCACGCAGCATCACTTCCGCTGTCGCCTTCGAGACAAACCGCGACAGAAGGCACAGATGAAAAAAGCTGGTCAGTATCGTTTTGTAGACTTCATAGAGACGCGTTTCGCCGACACCGCAAGGTTCTGTGGACACACGCAACAGCAATGTCTTGTCAACAGCATATTTTCATTACTAAGTGGATTAGGCTGGATCGCTGCCTTAATTTCGTTCGGTGGAAGCTCACCATAACTAGAGCCGAGTCATTTGGGTGGCTCCGAATAGAAAGCTTCACCAGCCCCAATTCTAGGCCACCCATCTTAGGCCAGAGTTTGCACCGGGCCTCATCCGAACCGCCAAGGGCTCGAGAAGCTATGCTACCGTTCAGATGAACAAGGCAATGTGCGCGTAAAGATGCTTCCAACCAGGTGTGGAATTAAGGGACTATACTAGCCTTCTTTGTTGTAGGTGGAAACCTGAATTCTGAGGGTAGCATACTGTACTTCAAACACCCCTCAGCTGACAGTACTGGGAAAGTTGCATGCTTGCCAGACCACCTCCTTTTTATTAGCCCCCACACTGAAGTCACGGTCAAAGACAGGCGCATGGCTGGTCCACCGAGCACATAGGGTCCACTGCACTTCTGGCTTGGGGGTGAATGGAAGACGACCGTGTTTGTGCTTCCACCGATTGCGGCTGAGATGGAACTAGGTGCAGGCGTCTTCAAAGCGTGTCGTCTGAATGGAGCACTGGAGGACAGCCTTCGATGTTGGCCGTCCAAAACGCCTGTCGGCCCGCGGCACCCCATCCTTTCAGAATTGCCCTTTCAGAACCAACTACCAGACTGCCCTGGTAGAGACCAGACCTATTCTACTCCCCCTCCTGCACACGGTTTACGATCCCTTACGTCACCCACCCAGTCTTCCCCCATTAGCTAATTCTGGCCTTAAAAACAGCATTTGCTCATAACGCTATTTTTTGTTGCGTGCTCCGATTTCTGTATTTTACTAAATTGGAAAGACCGCCCCTTGCCGCTAGCCAGAGACAAATGGCATCAGTTTGTGTCTCCGTTTTAATGTCTCTTCCGGTGAATAAAGGCAATGGGATGAAAAAGAGTGAACGTGTTGGATATGTTTAGACAGCAATGACAGAAATAACAGTAACAGACATGCGGTTTCACCTCAAGAAGAAAGGAACTTTTGCACACTTTTCGTACGTGAAGTAGTTTTCGCAAGATGTTTGAGAAAAAAGCGATACTTTTGACCTTTTTATTGCGTATGCCTCAAAGAAACAACCGAGTGACCAGTGGATGAACTTCAGAAAGCATGAAAAATCTAGAGGCGGGGTAGTGAGCTCAGCGAGTGCTCACGGCTGCCGCACTATGTCAACTGCTCGAGAGGGCCCCACTAAAGCATGCGCTGCATAGGCAGGATGAAGCGGGCAGCCAGGGCATTGCATTTGCTGCGCGATTAAAGACTAATTCGGCACGACACTTCATTGGCCACAAATGACAGCAAACACAGGGTAAAGATCAGAACAAGAGCCACTTTGTGCTGCCATAATGCCAAATGTCCAAAACGCAAGCAAACCTTCTTGCCAAAGGCCTTCGGAACACTGAACCGGACTGATCTTCAGGCCCGCATACGACCGCAGCGCCGCCGCACACATCCGAAACCTTTCTACGCTTGCCGCTTGTCGGTGCCCGATCCCATTACCCCTTTCTAGTGAGCCGCATTTTGCATCGGTTGGTGGCGGGTATGTCAACGGGGAATTTGTTTCTTTTTCAGATCTAAAATATTAAACAAAAACTACTTGCATAAATATTTGAAACTGTTTGCGACAGTTATATTTTGTATTTCGACTAAAAAGAGGCTTTTAGCAGCTCTGACCAGTAGTAAGCCCAGGGCCAAAGACTTGACATATCGCGCGCTTTCGGCTTTACGGGTCGCCCCCGTAGGTGGAGGTTTCCGCGTCGTCCGGTTAAAATATGACATTGTTAGTTACTCTCTCGTTCCTGCTGGCCTGCCCGAAACCCAAGAGACGTGGAAACCGCAAAAAAGACGCTTAGTTCTGATTGCAGGGCACTGAACCGATTGCTAATGGAAGGAAACGGCAAGCCCAGAAAGGGTTCGCTCACCGTCTGCAGCTTGCTCGGCTTGAGAGCGGGTTGAACCGGCTGGACCTTGTTCGGGGGACGTAGAGCGACTCGCTGGGTGCCTCGAGTAACCTGAGGCTTCTTGAACCCGCCGCGCTCGGAGGCGTTTTCCGTCGACGAAGCCGCCGACGAGGCCTACGGATGACAAGAGGCATCATTCGTTTCCCCAACAGGCTTTCGAAAACAGTACGCCAGCCCAGAACGGACTTCTTAACAAACGGAAGGACAGAACTCTAGCTGAACAGGAGCGGCTAAAAAAATGCGACAGGCGAAATCTAACGGCCGTCCGGGAGAGCCACTGACCTGAGATTTCAAAAAGCCATGCGGCACAAACAAAGCGACTCACCCAACGTGCGGAACGCGTAAAAGTCGTCATGGTCCTTCGTGTGACTGACAACGAAGAGCTTCGGCCGTACAAAGTTTACAAACGATAAAAGAAAAGCGCGTCCAACTGCACGGTCCTCCCAGTGCCTAGCGACTGCGCACTGCGCAACACGATACTCCACTTTCGCCAGACAAACGAAAACTGACCGTTCCTTTCACGTTCCTTTTAAAACCGCCGCCCGAGCGCAGTGCGGCAGCCGGCCATTTTTACTAAATAAAGCTTCTGTTAGTAAATATACGTATGTTTTAAGATAATAGTTATTTTTTATTCAACTGCACCGATTAACCAGAAATGTATGTGCAGAAACAAAAAACATTTTTGTTTTCTGCGGCATGGCAAGATGGCGGCGTCCATGCTCCTGGTGTTCCCCAACTCGTTGCTCCGACGACTGCAGCTCTTCACGGTCTTTCGTGCTTGATCTTTTCGATTCATCGTCCGGCTTGGTCGTCCTGCTGCGGCAGCCGCTCCCAAACCGCCGTGCTGAATCGTGGTGCAAAAGCAGGATGGCGGCGGCTCGGGAAGCGGCCCTGCGGTTGCCGCCGCTGCCGACGGTGCGCGACCTGCTCCGCATGTACCGTATCCGCGCCATGCGTCAACTGTCTCAGAACTTCCTCATGGACCCCAAGTTGACGCGGAGGCTGGTCAAGGCGGCGGGCAAGATCAGGGACCACCACGTGATCGAAGTGGGGCCCGGACCCGGATGCCTGACCAGGCCGCTGCTCGAGCTCGGGGCTCGCCAGGTGGTCGTCATCGAGAAGGACCCGAGGTTTTTGCCGTCGCTCCAGGTGTGTACGTCGCCCTGCATGTGCGGGAAGGTCCTTTAAATCGAGCGGGTTTTCAGTACCTTGCTCGGGGATCGGGCTGCAGGTGCGTTCGTGCAGCCCAAGCACTTTCCGATGCACTCTCCTTATGCGAACACTGTCTAGATGACGTAAGCCGCCACCTGATGTTCAGCCGTGTGTAGGCAGACATGGGGCAAACAAGAGGCAATCATGAGTGCTGCGTTCTACCGAGACTCGTGCGCTGAAGACCCTGAGCCGCTGTGTCCCGCCTGTCTAGGTTCCCACCACTAGGGTTGTCTGGGAGCTTGTGCACGCTGTCATCTCGGATGAAAGAGGATGACACTTGGGGAAAGATGTGAAAGATTCCTTTTCGCTCTGGGACTGCACTCCTAAGGATAGTTCCTTCTTTCCGTACCTGCCAGCTTTACGGCAACACATTCAAATGATGAACAGATTTCGCCTAGGCTCGTTTGTTTCATTTTGCGTTAGAAGACTGCGGCTCGTGAATTGGGCACAAACTCCTCAACTTGCACTGGAATGTTGTATTGGCAAATGTTACTCCAATAGCTGTTGTACACAAATGCTCGGACGTCACGCTGCTATCAGTACACGCGTGTTACCTCACGCAGTTTCTGTGCACGCACTGTGCTTGCACCTGCCGTAAGCAAACGTTTGTTGACGACATGTTGGTCTATAGGGACTTGCCAGCTGCATTTGTGGCATCGCGCTAGGCAAAATATCATGCCGCCACATGGAACCAGGCTAGTCAGCAGCGACGCTGCCGCTTGCCAGAATAGGAATAAAAATATGCGCTCGAGAAGAAGGCATCCGGGAGCGTAAAGATTATGCCGGCCATTATCTTCTCGAGTCGGAAGAAGAAACGAAAGTCTTCCTTGGACAGAGAAACGCCAGAAATGTTGTGGTTCCTGGACAGGGGGAGAAATGCTCGAGCCGTCGCTGAACTCGTCCAGATTAGTGCCCAAATCCTTTTCTTAAAGGGATACTGAACCGAAATTTGGATTTCGCAAAGTAAGGCTGCAGAAGTGTTGAACGGAACGCTGCGAACCCCTAAACATCACTCGTACATCGATATCTCAAACGGGTGGCCATACTTTTTGGAAAAAAAAGGGCGCGATCAAGCAAGTTCTTTGATGTAACTGTTCTCCGGGAGAATTTGAGAATGAGGAGAAGCGGCCTCGCTTCTCTCCTCCTCGCTTCGGTTCACCAGCGTGAAGGGACATAGTGAGGAGGAGAGAGAATGGGAATCGTTTCGTGCCTTGTCTCGTCGGCCGGGTTAATTGCGCGCTTCTTTTCCAAAAAATATGGCGATCCGTTAGATATATCGCCTTATGAATGATATTTTTTGGTTTTGCAGCCTCTCGCCTATCCGCCCGGCCTTGTTTAGTGAGCTTGAAATTTCGGTCCTGTATCCCTTTAAGCTCACTGGAGCTCGTTACAGCAGGTGTCCAGCTATGGACACACGCATGCTTGGGAGTGACCTCGAGCGCCGGAGGTGAGGGTGACCTCTCCCCCCGAAGGCCCCTATGATGACGGCGTGGTGGGAGTTATGCTTTGGAGAGACCAATCGACCTCTTCCCTTTCTCTTTGCGTGGCTATACGGGGCGGGAGCGTGATCACGTGGTAAACAATAGACGTACAACTGGCCAAACTGAGCACGTAGCTTGCACCGCACTGTCAGCTTACGAGTGAACGGAGTTGCAAGAGAGAGTGAGAAGTATGCGAGTTGTGCCTCCACTACTTTTACGGCTGACACGTGCCGAGATACGGGCGGGAGGAACCTCGAGGACCGCGTTTCGTGTTTAACGAACAGTAACCTGATACCTCACTGTCACTTTTTTGTTTTTGTTTAATGGAGACCACGGGCACATTCGATGTACGATTGCTTTCCCAGGGTGCGCACAAGCCTTTGAAACCCTTGGAAACCATTGAATTTAAAAATTGGGTTTACAAGGCTCTTGAAAGCCCTAGATTTTTGGCTAGACCTTGAAAATCTGTGAGAAGCTATTTATAATAGGAAATGCGGGTATATATTGTACATTTTTGTTATGCTTATCGATTGTTTCTTGTTTCAGTCTATGTTATCTCAATTTGTTTAGATTTAGCCAATGTTCATTGGCTGCTTGGCCATATTGGAGCAGATCCGAATCCAGTCTGATCCGGGACTGCCTGGCAAAAGCGGGTTTCAAGGCGCTTGGCTTTGTAGTGATGAATATAAGGGCTGGGTGGCGCCAGATACGGCAAATCAGCGTCGTGCAGGATGCAAGCCGTGCAGAAAAACCTTCGATGTCGCCGCCATGGGCGAGTCGGCGTTGAAGAGTCTTATGAAGAGCGCGGAAGATGCCGGCATCATAAAGATTGCAGCCAAGAGCTCGGTGCAAAATTACCTTGCTCCGGGCTTGAGTGAACAAGCCACTGTCTCGCCTCTACCGCATTTGCCAAACCTAAAAGCTGCTTGCAACATGCACGAATAAGTGACAAACGCCGAAGTGGTGTGAACTCTGAAGGTTGTCACATCCCACTGTTCCTACCGGTCATTGTTAGAAGCGGGCAAGTTGTTCCAACACATGCTCCCAGACACTGAGGTGGCAAAAGCTTTTTTTTTTTTTTTCTGAGAAAAGAAATGCACCTGTGTGACGTACCATGGACTGAGACCTTTCTTTCTAAAGGCCTTGCAGCGGAAGATTGAACAGTGTGAGCAGTACATGGTGCTTTTTTATGAGTCTTCTAGCGACTATTTGCATTTTAAACTAATGGATGTGCACGTAAGGTTGGGACTCGTCTCACAAGGTGACAACAAGGTACTACAACTCGGTGTTTATGGTTCACTCCACGGTCGGGGACATACAAGGAAAGCTGTTGAGTGCACTCAAACCACTGCCTCTTGAGAAGATTCTCCAGATATCGAAGGATGCTTCCAATGTTAACTTGAAGTTCTTTCAAAAATTTTAAGTGCACCTACAACAAATATACCAAGTTCTGTGTGTCGACATTGGCACCTGTGGCCTCCACACAATGCACGACGGCTACAGAGTAGGCATCACGGCAAGTAGATGGGGACTAGGTTGCTTACTGTCTAGTCTGAGTGCACCGTTTGAGACCTTTCCAGCAAGGAGGGAAGATTTTACAAGAGTTACTGGGCATTAAACATCTACCCTAAACTATGCTTAGTGCAATAAAAATTATATCTGCAATCTGTTGACAACAGTGTTTTATTGAAATCTGGTACATCCAACATTGAGTTAGGTCCTTGAAAATACTCCCACAAGGCCTTGAAATTCCTTGAATATCCTTGAATATCTTTGTTTGAATCTTGTACGAACCCTGTTTCCAAATGAAGCGAAGGCTATAATCGAAACCTTTGTCAGCAGGCACAACCGCATCGTCCGAAGCCATCCGGTCACTTGCACGCGTTGTCGAGAGCAAAACCTTTGTCTATGACACTTATTTATTGCGCGCTCTTTGGGCACTCGCGCGTTAATGTGTTTGCTTAGCCATTTAAGGTATGGAGTAGCACGTGTGCTTGTCTTTTTGTTATGTGGGGATCACATTGAGAACGTGAGGTGAAACCGTTTTCATAGGGTTTTGTTCATACACACTTCCTTTATCTCTTTTTACCTCGAACTGCACCACCGAAAGAAAATACCCCCCGAAAAATATTTCTGACTATGCCACTGCGAGGTAGTGTAGCAAAAACATTATTTTTGTTAGTTTGTTACTCGGGTACACTTCTGTGCTAACTTACATTGTGGTACGTTACAAGATTGAGTTATGCGGTCCTCTCAAAGTGGGCCCGTAGTTCCGCCAAGCTCCATGTCACTACAGGCGGTACATGCTTGTCTCGGTTGCCGTCGTTTGGTTATGATCTCGGGGACGTGAAAGGGACTCCAACTGTAAAACAAAAGCGGACGGCGTAACAAAAAATTTGTTTGGAGCGTTGGGTGTTTTATTAAATGGTACTCTGCCAGTTTTTTAGCTACCCACGCCACGTTTTCCGAATATTCTGCATTGCTTTACTCTTCTTGGCACGCTATTTGGCTGCTTTAAATTCAGAAAGGCTATAGAGAAAAGGGCGAGTAAAGGCATTCCAGAAACATACAATCCCAGTTTTTCACGCTTTCCAGAGGCGTGCGATCAGTGACAGGCCTGAAGAGGCAGCCTCCGAGTATCTTGTCCATTTGTTTTGTGCGTGTGAGTGAGGGCTGGAGTGAGCGAGGGGCCAAGCTCACAACCAGGCCGGCGTCCCTGTAGCCTGTGAAGTTAAACGTGACGTCACAAACGCGTTTGGGGCGCCGGATCTCCCGAGACACGTAACGGAAATTATAGCCACCCTTCATAATACAAACTTGTGATTGTCATTAGCAGATTTTGTGATGATGTTTCAATTATTTCCGAACGTTTACGTGAGAGGTGTATTTCAATTTTCGTGTCCGTATCCCTTTGATGTGTTGAATTGAACTTGAGGCAAATCAGTGACTATCAAAATTAGCATATTTCTATGAGTTTGCAATACTGTTAACCGGCTCTATAACAAACCCGAGACTAGGAAAAAAAAAAAAGGGCAACCACGCAAAACACTTTAAACGCAGCAACTTCACTGTTTGAGGATGTGTACACGCCGTCCGCCCTCTCCGAAGGTTGCCAACACTTTCTTGCGATTAAGCTAACGAGAAAAAGAATGCATCAGAAAGTTTGGGTGCAAACGAGCTGATGATGACTGAAAACCCCGTGACTAGAGAGAGCGAGGGATGACATGATGCAGAGGTCTCAAAAAAGGGGTTATTTGCCGTTGCTTTCACTTGTCTCCTATAACATGCTGTTTCTTTTTGTAACTATTGGTTTTTTTTTGGTTTCTCCCAGTGCAGTTTGTAGATCCATTTCTCTGTCACCTTGTTTGCAAGGGGTAGTGGTGACCCTTTGAGAAGGTTGACAGTGTGGATAAATTGTGACACGAGGAAGTATAGCGATAGCTGTGTTTTGAGGCTCGTGGTTTTTCCTAGCCTGGTGTTTATCACAGAGTTAGGTGACCAGCTTGCCTGCATTTCTAGCCCCTTTCACCATCTCTCGTTTTGGATGCCCCAAGAAGTGACTGTTTTGTGAAAAATGAAGCCTGAAGGTAGACGCTGTCACGCAGTTGCTGGCAGAGGCTGCAGACAACCGGCTCAAGATCATCATGGGGGACGTCTTCAACTACAGCATGGAGGACCTGATCCCTCAGTGAGTGCCCAACGCTGACGGGAGCACCCATTCCTCTGCCGTCTGGGTCTCACTGAGGTCCACATGCATCTAATCCACTCAAAATAAATCTCAGTATCACATGCTCCAACACTAGGGAACAAAAAGTATGCCTAGGTGGTGCATTTGTTTCCTGCAAATATTGATTCAAAATTTATCTAAATTTAAAGGGACACCGACACCCCCCAACAATATTTATTCATTTTTTGCCAGGCAATTCGTTATGGTGTCAGAAGAGTACCCAGTCAGTATTTTGCTACAGCGTTATATATATTTTTAATAAAGTAAAAAAAATGCAACTGCTTGAAACCGAAACCAAAACTGGACTGGGGAGGAAGAAGAAATATGGAAGAGGAGAGAGTTACCGGAGGTCACGGGGCTGTGCTACTTCTAGTTTTGTCAATTAATGCATTTGTAGCTTTTTAGAAGCCACAAAAAATAGGTGCCATATTTTTTGTCTATTTTTAGTATTGAATGTGTGCCTTGGATGACCCATGGCTTTGATTATATTTGGTGGTTGTGTCTAAACCATAAAAAGCGGCGCATGACCTCGGAAGAGAGAGTGAGCGTGACTCGAACCACTTAGTTTTCAGGCAGAAAGAAAAGGAATTTCGAATTACAAATTGTGTTCAGGGTAGTTGGGCTCTCATATGTCACGTGCAAATAAAAACCTCAGCGAGCATAAATACCCTGTCAGTGTCCCTTTAATGTTACAAATATAAACCAAGATTTTCATATCACTCAGTACAGAGTTAAGCCTTTTTAAAGTGTAAAGGTGAAAAAGCATTCTCTTGGGCTACTGGGGCATTGAACCCAGTGGCAGTGGAACAGGCGGGTGATCGGCCCCATAGAAGGAAATTGAAAGGGATACTACAACTATGGTGACTATGGTGCCTGGATCGCTTCTCCGACTGGTGTGTTTAACGTCCTGTGCTGCCCATACATCAAAAGTGGTCCCCAAGTGGCAACAAATGACGTCACAGAAGCCGGAGTGTCATGTTGTTGCCTGTCATAGATCCTGGCGGTTGGTCATAGAAATACTGGCGAAAAGCACGAGCGAACGTGAGTGTCGCTGTCGTCACGGCGTCACAGGCGTCCCAACTGCTGTAGCTTCCGTGGACTGTCGCAGTGAAGAGCGACCTGCAGCAGAACAGGTGTCTGCACATCCACTACCGCTGCCTAGACAGCGCCAGGGTCGCGACCGGCGACAGCATGACACTTGTATGACGTCATCAGGCGGAAATCGAGAGACCACTTTTCTGGAGGCGGTAAACACATCAATCGGAGACGCGTTCCAAGCACTTTAGTTCTGCGAAGTTTTGTCGCTTATTCTTTGGTCTATACGACACATCAATATCTTGTTAAAAAAAGTCACAAACAGGAATCAAAAAAACAAATTTAACAATTAGAAAGAGCACCTGGTGGATGACGCTAAAGCCTCCTTTGTCATGCCCGTCTGGAAACCTTGACAGGTAGTGACGATGACTGTCTCAACATGCTTTGAACCTGACGTGATCCCAACAGCTCTACGGCCAGCACAAGAGAAGAAGGAAGGGAGGAACTCCCCGCTCAACGACACTGTCTTTTGTGTGACCCAGACATTGCTGTTCTCCCTCTACAAGATTACAGAAGATTAACTTATCACTCAAAATTCACACAAAAGCAGCTTTGCAGTTAGTTGCGGTGGCCCGATCGCTGGCGTGCTTCGTCTGGTTCGGTGGCTGGAAGAGCTAGGGCATCCTGACGACGTTAGCCTCACCGCAGTTTTGCTCATCTCGAGACAGACTATGTCACGATTGCACCGGATGTGACGTGCTCTCCGCTGGCTTCTCTCGGGGCGCTGAAAAGAATGAGCCGTTAATAACAAAAAATACAGCCATCAGGCTCAAAATAGAAACGTGCAATTGTCTTTTACAGATAGTTTGGATCATATTCAGCCTATTTCTGAACATGACGGGTGTAATTCGAATTTCGTTGAAGTATTCCTTTAATGTAAACAATACGGAGGAGAGAGAAAAATTACATTGCACCCCCCCCCCCTCCTTTCCTCCCTCCCTCTACTGTCACTCTCTAACCTCTCAACTAGTTCTGACTCCTCTGATTGTATCAGAGAAAACAGGGAGTACTTTTTTCTGGTTTCTTTAAATAAAGTGTCCCAGCGGCCCACAGCAACATTTCTTCCCATTCTCATGAGAAAGCTTAGATGAGGTCGAAATTTTGCAAAAATTCTCATTTCAGGTTTTAGTACAATTTATTATCCTTAAATTTTCATATTTTATGTATAAAAGCGTAAAGACTAAATATGGTCGCGAAATCGGCCAGATTTGCATTTGGAAACCTCCCAGCGACCCAGAAAGATGGCCGTGATCGTGTGCGCGGTTCCTCAAATTGTCACATAGCCTGCCATTACAACTGTTTCGAAAAGTAGGCCTAGCCATCTCCTCTCCTTTGCAATATTTTGTAGCTTCAATTTCTTAGAAAAGATAATTTTAACATTTTTTTTTCCCGCCACGAAGGAGCGTGTACCGCTTTCATATCTATTGTAATAATCAGACATTTTTTTTAATTTTGCAATTTTAAAGCATCTTTACAGTTAGTGCACAAGAATCTTTTTTGCTTCTTCATATTGTCCTATGACAACCAAATTTGGCATTCATGGGCTTGAGGATCCATAGAATGCAACTATCCAGGTTAAATTAGATGGTATGTTTTTTTATAGTTATAAAAAGTACAAAAAATTTTGTTAGTCCTTTAAAAATTGTTTTTGTAATTTTGATTTATTTAAAAAAAAGTTTTTTTTGCAGATTTTTTTGTTGTTTCTTGCACTCGGTGCTTCAAAAAGGTTGAATTAGACTATTTTATTATGCTCTTTTACGTGTGTTAACATGCCCTTCATCCATGCAATAATTTTTTTTTTTTGCATGTGCATTGTACCTAGAACATTGGATTTATGAAAAGGAGATCAAGCACTATAAACTGTGAACATGTCGTTCAGTTATCACAAATATAAAAAATGTTTTGGGGGCTTTGCTTATGGTCAAGGCCTGTGTGAAGAAAACAAGCAAACTTTGACAAAAAAAAAAAGCATTCCCACTTAGAAAAAAAAAAAAAATGGACGAAAGCGGAGTGCCGCATGACACGATGGTGTTGTGTTGCCTCACGATTTCTGAAGTGTCCTGTCTGGACAAGCCTTAACAGCGCTGCTGTCATAAATGCATATCGCCGTTTCATGTATGCCTCCATTTTTCTACTCTCTTGGGTGCACACTGAGCCGTGATCTGGAGAGCGTGACCGCTATTATGTGCGTCTGATAACACTGAAATACGTATGGGCCTCCCCACCGTTCTCGCAAATGCTCAGTCGTGAAGGGAGCCCTGCAGGTTCTGCCGATCACTGATGCCGCGCAAATCTCTACCCGAATAGCACCCCTTAAACGACAAAGAAAATCCAGCACCGTAGCCCGATTAACTAAATGGTGCGCTTTCTTTTATTTATTTTTATTTATTTCAGCGATACCACGACTCTGGACTGAAAGCCTTAAAGGTAGTGGCACAGCTTTGAAACACAAAGAAATAAAAGAAAATATATTAATTTCATTTATTTTGGCCTTAAGGGCCCAGTTAGGGCATTACCTACATTAATGAAGGGGGGGGGGGGGGGGGGGTTAAATACGAGGTGTGATCAAAAAGTTCCGGGACTGATTCTGTAGCATAGACAAAGAGGGCAGCACAGTGATGCGCGTGCAGGGGTTGAGAAAAGTGACCACTGTGTCCCATTATACCAAAAAGTGTCGCTTTGTGAACACTTGCAGCTGCGCTACGCAAGCTTGTTTGACCGCATGCACAACCACACTGGCGATTTCACCATAGACAGCAAACCGAAGCGAAAGCGGACATCAATTATGCGTTAAACTTGGCGAATATAAAACAGAGGTCTTTGAAATTATTCAGCTGGCCTGTGTTAAAAACCAGTGAATTTTATGAAGTGTTTCAAGTGGCACTTGCGATTCTGGAACGGCAGAGCGTCGCTGGAAGACCAAGAGCGGTAGGGCAACCTTATCCCACCTTTCCTTGACTTCAGTGACGTTTTGCCGTTCTTGAGGTGCGAGTGCCACTCAAAAATACTTTGCACACCTCACTGCTTTTTTACATAACCTTTTTGAATCATTTAAGAGGTTTCTGCTTTGGGTTTGCCGAGTTTGACGTAAAATTGATGTTCGCTCCCGCTTTGGTTTGCAGTCTATGGAAAGATCGCCATTATGCTCGTGCATATGGTCAAATAAGCTCGTGCAGCGCAGCTCCAAACGTTCACAAAGTGACGCCCTTTGATATAACGAGGCACGAAGGTCCCTTCTCCGACTGCTGTGTGCACATCATTGTGCTGCCCTCTATTATTAAGTTATAAATTCAGCCCCGGAACTTTTGATCACACCTCGTACATGTTATACAAATCGAGACAAACAAAAAAGAAATAGAAAAAAAACATGGGCTAGTTAATACATCCAGGTCAAGCTCATTAATTTTGTACTGCCTCCAGGGCCGGTTTTTTCGAAGCAATGGTAAACCCGTTTTGGTAAACCACGGTGCCTAGGAAGGAAAAAGTACCTAGTTACTGTAATAAACGGCTGGATATAGAACTACAATAATTATTTTTGATTGGGCAGTAAGATGCGCCATCTATCGGTGAAACAAGCCAGTCATTTTGTTTATCCTCTTTTTCTGCTGGTTGTTATCGATCTAGTATGGTATTTTAAGTCAAAATATAGTAATGTTGTACTTGAAGACCAATTTATTTGCTTCAGATGGTACGAAGAAATTTTAGCTACTATGCTAGAGTTTGCCGACAAATATTCGAAAATGCAAGAAACATTTCCTTCAATATGTTTCGCCTTAAACAATGCTTAACTTTCTCGTGTGCCTTCCAGTCTGGCAACGCAGGTGCTGTAGTCTCGTTTTTGTTCCTTGCGGCGCACGTTTCTGCGATTCCTGCTGATCTCAACTGTTTGCCCCCTTTTCCTTTTGCCCAACCGATCCACCGGTGACGAGAAGCTAAGCTTCTCTTCACCATTGAATCGCTGGCCACCGGGGATATGTAGAAAGCTCGATGCTGTTAGCATACTGTCGGTGCACTGCAAACAAAAAAACAGTACAATGTCCCAGCTGTTCACCCGGAACGGAGACTTTATCGAGGATAACCCCCTTTCTTCGCAAAGTAATCGCTGCTCACGAGTTGTCTTGCATAGTGTAACAAATTAAACATGTTAGTATAAATATATACCAACACTCGTTCGCAAAACATTTTTTTACTCACCATAAAAACACTTGCAAGGCTTATGTACCCTCATATGTCTTAGATCCCGAACTACTGAAGAGTGATGCGTTCGCAGAATGCTGCCGTCGGTTAGTTTAGTAGTCCCTATGAACTACCACTTTGCTTGACATGTTAATAGATTGATGGTGCGTCCTTAATATAACAGCCGGATCAAAATGAATGTTCAGCAGAACCAAGCAGAACTATTAGCCCTCATTAAGCAACGTCGCGGCCATTTTGCTTGTAGGTACTGCTCCTCCCTCGGCGCCCCTGCTCTCCCAGTCACGTGACCTGGAATTCCCTCTTCTAGGGACAATAGTTAACTTTAACCCACGGTTCGCGTTCGAGAAAACGGGCCCAGGTGGTTGATGAGGTAGACCTGATGGGGACTCCAGATGGAAGCCGCATATTCTCATTTTGGTTTGATGAATGTGTCGTATACCATTTTGTAGACAAGTGGAGGAGCATTACGCAGGTTACGGTTATGAGTCAGCATGTAGGGCTTCAATATGGTTATTCTATGAGATGTCGGACGTTAGTCTTGCACTAAGGCATTTATATGTTAAAACGGTTTCAATTAGGTCAGATTCGAGGAAGTACAGATGATATGTGAATGAGAACATTTTCGACAGATATCGTTCTGGTTGGGGAAAGATTAGGTTTAGACGGAATAGCTCCAACCAAAAAACGGTTCAGCCCGACGTTTTAAAACCTGCTCAGTTTTGAAACCGAGCAAGTTTTGAAACGTCGGGCTGAACTTTTTTTTGCTTTTTGGTTGGAGCTCTTCTGTCTAAACCAATGTTATAGGATGGATTTCTCTCTGATGAAGCGGATTAATTTACATTGGGATTCGTTTATTGACTTTCAGGAAAAGTGATCAAAGAAATCAGATTATTAGCTGCAGAAGCAAACGAAGGAACAGAAGAAAGCATTTGTTCTTGCCCGCAGAGAGCTGGGTGTGCCGTGGGAGGGCCCCCCGCCCCCCGTTCATGTGGTGGGCAACCTGCCCTTCAGCGTGTCCACCCCGCTGCTGGTGCGGTGGCTGCGCATGGCGTCCCAGCGGAAAGGCCCCTTCCTGCACGGGCGGGTGCCCCTCACCCTCACCTTCCAGAAGGAGGTGGCCGAGCGCATCGTGGCCCCCGTCATGCACGTCCAGCGCTGCCGCCTGTCCGTCATGTGCCAGGCGTACTGCAGCGTCCAGCACCAGCTCACCCTCTCCGGTCAGTCGGGACCTGCGTCTGCTGGCTCTGCCGTAACACTGCTAGCTCAAGGTCTTTAACGGTAGTGCAACCCCATCGAAATGGGCAGGAAGAGGCGGCTGAACCCTGTGGAGCGAGCTTTTGTTCCACTTTCTCCGAGCTGCGGTACGCCGACGTGCTCAACCACCTATGTTCTTATTACTAATACATTAATGGTAGCAGATTAAAAGCGTGTGACGAGTAGGCAGAGGCACGGTCTGGCCCTTGGCGAGGTCGTGGCTTCGAATGAGTGCCAGCTTACCCGAGCACCGTGCTGTAGAAGACGTTCACTAACTAACTTCTTTCCTGCTAGGGGTGAAAATTGAAAACATAGATCCCCTTTGTGCGCTGGCAAAAAAGCCCGCACTCATCCGATTCACCATAGTCGTACTGAACCTTCCAGCGAGCGAAGAGCTGTTCGATGAAATGAGGAGCGAAAAATACTTTTTACGTTGCTGTTATTAATGGCCGACACCGGAGATTGTCGTCCCGTACTAATATCGGGATCGTCGAGCGCGCAAGCACTTTGTAGAAGCAGATTTCGGTGCAGATATACAAAAAACTTGGCAGTGAATCACCGTCGTTGCCGCTTTTGCTTAGAGCAATAATAATAATAGGTTTATTTCCAACAACAAAGGTACAGTGTTGGTGGGGGCTTTGGAAAAAAGCTGTTTATACAGCTTGACTGGTCCTAAGCCCCCATAACTTCAGCAGCTACAAGCAGCATGCATGAAAAAAAAAAAAGAAATACCCTGAGAACACTAAACAAAAAAGAGATTGAACAGTTGGCAATGAGATATATGAAACTAAAGAAAATAAGCAGACACTATAGCAAAACGTCACTTGCATGCATTGTCCAAGGCACTATAACAAAAAAAATTCTGGCATACAATATTTAAGAGTAGACAAAAAATACCACTGCCCCACATCATTCGAGGAAAAACCAGAAAAAAATAGTCTACATGAATTAATTGTACAATATACAAAACACAAGCATATTCCCCTTTACAAAAAATATTTAGAAAATACACACAAAAGCACTGTCCAATCGTGGCTGATTTGCCCAGAGAGTGTCATGTCCCGCGAGGTACCCACCAATAGCGTGTCAAGTTCTATGTTGTGCATATGAAGGTGGTTAAGGATGGTCGGTAGTGTGTATGCTAGGGTATAATGGCCATAATTTGTTCTAAAAAGAGGCACTTGCCAGGGTTGCAGAATGTGCGTTTGGTACGAGTGTACTTTTTGTGTTAGATTCGCTAAATATTCAAGATGATGTACGTGCATGTTTTTTTCAATTATATATTTTGGGCAAAGGCGGTATCTGTACAAATCAAAAATTTTAATTACACCCAGTTGAGTAAAAAGTGAATCCATTCGATATTGCAGTGGAACTTTGCAAATACTTCTTCGTATCTTTTTTTGCAAAATGAATATTTTTTTACAGTTAGTGAAAGTAGTTGTGCCCCGTACTAGATGACCATAGTTTATATGGGAATAAAATAATGATTTATATATTAGCAACTTTACCTTAAGTGGAAATATGTGTTTATTACAATATGTCAAGCCAACAGTGCTGGACAATTTGGATATAATGTAATTAACGTGATCATCCCGTGACATTGTCTCTGAGAAAAAAAATACCGAATGTTGGATTTAAATGTGAGCTCTACACAGTTTTGCGGGTTGAATCCCGTGAGAACTCAGACGGAGCAATGGTGGATGCAGGCAGCTTTACGCATGTCGGGGCACGAAACCTTTACTGTGGAGCGAGCGGGAGAATCACGGGCACGCGGTAACTTGCTGCCGAGCCCCGTTTTGGTGTCAGAGTGGGCAGGGTGGTGCGTGCAGGTGGTTCATTCTTCCCCAAGCCGGACGTGGACGTGGGCGTGGTGCGGCTGGTGCCCCTGGTGGAACCGGTCATCCAGCAGCCCTTCGACCTGGTTGAGAAGGTCTGCAACTGCCTCTTCAACGGGCGCCAGAAGTACCTCAGCAACGGCCTCAAGTCAGTCCCCCCTCTCTCTTGTCACGAGGAGTTTTTACGTATGAGAACCCTCCGCGAGCCTTTCTTGCTCATCTCACTGCACGTCATCACAGTGCCACGTGACTTCCATTTCCTTGCTAAGTTTAGTGGTAAATAGGGTGTCGCGTATGTCTAGGTGTCGAGTGACCCAACATCGCGAGAGTGTACTCGTGAGACATTGATTTCTCCGCCAAATTTAGCGGGGAAACCATTATGGTGTCGTGTGACGTCACGGTGTTGCGTGATGTGATGTCGTAATTTGCCCGCTAAATCAAGCGGAGAAACTTATCTATTTATAAATACCGCTAACCTCCTCTTGGAGGTTCTGGCAGGTGTTAGTACATTTTACTGTGCAAGAAGCTAAACAAAAATGTAATGAAATGTAGTACAAACGCATTACTAATATAAAAATGCATCGACAACAACCACATTTAACTTTTCATAGTCAGCGTTTTAAAGCAGTGGTCGGCAATCTTTTGGCGCAGCGGGCCGAGTCGCCGCGAAGCCAGAGCAGAATGGGCCGGACGGCAAGCAGCAGGCCGGGGGGGGGGGGGGGGGGCTAAAGTAAAAAATTACAAATAAAAAAAGCACTTGCACGAACTTACATTGACGTATATAAATTTAAAATGAACAGTTTCTTCATTTCACGCCATACGACATGAGATGCAACATTTCCACAAAAACCTAGAGACTCCATTCAGTGAGACCTCTGGTGTTGAACTGTGCTCGCCAAACTACAGACATCCACATTCAAGCTACTGACTGCGAGTCGCAAAACATTGAGAAGGTTCTCGTCAGTCATTCGTGAGCGCAAGTTGGATTTTATGCACTTCATTTTTGAAAAAGTCCGCTCGCAGACATATGTTCTTCCGAACACTGTTATCATGGTGGCTGCGGGTTTCTTAAAGGGCCCCTGAAAAGAAAAAAAAGTTTTTTTCTAAACAGTCTGGTTGGGACACGCGTGTCGAAAAATGAATTTTACGCGAAAAAGAAATTTTTTAGAGCAATATTGACGGCGAGAGATTTATTTGAAATTTTGCGCGCAAATTCCAGGTCATTCAGCTCGGCTTCTCATTGGTAACCATGGTCATTCAAATCGGCTTCTCATTGGCCAATAGAATGAGTGACAGCTTAGATGTTGGTTATAAAATCTTCGTGATCTCTTGAGATCGCCTTTTGAATGACATATTTTTAGGTTTAAGAAAGAATCCATCGAATGAATGTCGCAATTGCTTACAAACGTTTTACAAAATCGTAACTTCCGTTCGGATACTACAACAAAACAACAAACAAACGCTTTGCCATTTTGTTTTCTGTCATGGTCGCCGTCGTTGTAACGCGTCTCGCGTACCTCGGGTGGTTTTATAGTTTTATCGCGTTTATATGTGAAAACCTTCTGAAGAGGGCTTGTTGCTTGTGTTAGTTAGTCATCGTAAGTACTTAGAAGTGGCGCGGTGTGACAGGTTTTTGTTTTCCTGGTTTTCTTTGCGTGATTCGTGTGCCCCGTTTACCCCATCTTTTGTATGTTTTCTGGCGCGCGCCAGTGCCAATTTTTTTTTTAGATGTCGGTTCCCGTAAAGAGTTTAGTGAAGGCACGCGGCACCGCACTCAACGTTTAATAAAAAAATGAGTCACCACTGCTTGTCCTCGCGGCGGCTTGAAAGGTCGTGCGGCTCAGACGAACTCGTCGAGGCACCCGCTTCGCCGCCTTCCGCGGCGAAGTAGGTGCCTCCTCGCGAGCGGTTGTCTCGCGGCAATCGGAGCGGACGCCTTCCGGCTGGCGAGGCAAGGTCCTCGTACGGGCGAAAGCCCAGTTCCTGGCAGCGTTGAAGGGTTGAAGCAACCGACGCTTCAGGTCGGGGTCCATCGTGCACGATACGACGCGTACGTCGTGCGACCGGCAGACACAGGGGCTGTGTTCCAAATCTCCAAATGGATCCGAGTTATTCCGGCGGATCGTATCACGTGACAGCACAGATTGAAAAACGCTGTACGCGGGTAGGTTTTAGAACGCCAAGGGTACAAAACTCTAACCCTGGGGTAAGATCGAGTAAATTTTGGAACACGGCCAGGAAGTAGCAATGGCTCTCGTGCGGGGCGCCGCCAAGCCGGGAAAGTAGCCAAGCCGATCCACTACGAAGAGGCGCAACAAATTCACACGAGATTTACAAGAAAATATCAGTGGTGACTTATGTTTCTCTGAAATTCTGTATGACCGGTCGTTTGCAGGACCGAATCATCTACTCGGGCGGTGTGCGTCGCTGTGCAAACGCCAACAACACGAAGCATAAAAACGGCAGGTCTAGGTCAAGAATCCGTAGTCCATTGTTCAATTAAAACGACGTAATTTTGTTGAAAACGCCCGCAGCGTTTTACTCACGGTATGCGTCGAGAATCTTCCACATTTTGAAACGGAACGAAGGAAGATTTACTTTTAAAAGCGCTCGCTGCGTCCTCCCGGACCAGTTGGACCGTATCAGCTGACGACGACGGAACTGAACCCGTTGAATTTCAACGCCACAATAACCAATTTGCGCTTCGTGTTAGTAGGGGATTCTACCTCCAAGCACCGCACGACACACCACGAACGTTTCAACTCTCTGTCGCATCGCCGTGTTGCACCAAACCTATCTCTATGCACCAAACAGAACAAGATTGCCGAAGTCAACGGAGCGCTGTCGTGAACCTGGTATTGATGTCGCTGGCCTGTAATAAGGCGGAGCCTCCGGGGCAATAACGGGGGCGCGCGTTAACCCATCCGCCGCGCTGCGCTTTACGCCGCTTCGCGGCGACAGCCTGAGGCGGCTCATTACAAAAAATGTGAACCCACATGTGTGTGTGTATTGGCCCACACGTAAACGCCGCTTCGCGGCGCCCAACTATTCGCTAAAGTATCATTCGGTGAACCGCCCCCTCAGGAGGCTCCGCCTTATTACAGGCCAGCGACATCAACACCGCGCCATGTTGAAACTTGAACGTGCGTTGTTGCTAGATTTTCTCTGACCAAACAAAAACAACGAAAGCAAACCGGCTCTAGCTTCCAGCGTACTAGAGCCACTAAATGAGCTGCGCTTAGAGTATCGGCACTCCGTTCCCCGACATTGTTGTGGGCGCCGCCATTTTGGGGCTTGTGCAGAGCAGACGCAACTGCCCATCGTCTTGATTCAGAAGTGCGACTTCCTCAGCATTATATTCGGTGTTCGGAAGCTCTTGTAATATTGATTTCCTCTGTCGCGCACTGTTTAAACATTTGTGGAGGACAGAAAAGTGCTTCCTGTGATTTCAGATAGAGCTCCAGATAACTGGCAGCCATGATTTTAAGCCACAATATGGCCAAGTGTCGTTACTCTGAAGCGTAGCTTATTTAGTGGCACTACAGCGTACATCGGTGTTGCGCCGTGGCCAGACTTTCTCTGTCAGCTCCTACAGATGCAGCAACACTGGTCTGAAATTTTAACATGGCGGCCCCCACGGAGCGCCGTAAATTCTGAGGAGGGTGCATTGGAAGTGGCGGCACCTTCCCCCCCCTGGGCGGGGTGTACGTCTCCTCCACGCGCCCGAGATGCCGAGAGAGAAAAAGGTGGAAAGGAGGTGACTGCCGACTAAATAGCGTCTGGCGCGGTCAATATTGCTCTAAAAAATATTTTTTTTCGCGTAAAATTAATTTTTTGACACGCGTGTCCCAACCAGACTGTTTTTAAAAAAACTTTTTTTTTCTTTTCAGGGACCCTTTAAAATTCATGAGCGTAGAATCCGCAAGGCCAGCATAAAATGTAACAAGGTCGTTTGCTTCAAATTCGCTCTTCAAATCATTATCTGTTTGCAGATCGGCCAGCTCTATCTGGTAACACTCTCGCACCTGGCTAAGATCTGCATTAAATGAATTTCGAAATAAACAAATGTCGCTCGAATGCTTCGTGAAGTCCGCAAACCTAACTTCAAACTCTCTTCTCAATTCGCGCAAGATTTCGCCGAGTCTTTCCGTGGGAAGTGACGTTGCTGTCTCGCCTGCAAAAATCTTGCAGCAAGGAAAATGATAAAAATTAGACTCTCTAGCTTGGTTTTGGAAGAGACTGAGCTTCATCTCGAAAGCTCTCACGTCTGCGAGCATCGTGGACGCGAGTTTCCCCTTCCCTTGTAATTTTACATTCAGGTCATTCAGGTGCTGAGAAACGTCAGCCAGGAGTGTCGACAACGCACCCAATCATGATCAGCAAGCTCTTTGAGAGGTTTCCCTTTCCCACGAAGAAACACTGCGATCTCACGAAGCTAAAAAAAACGTCGCAAAACTCTTCCTCTGCTGAGCCATCGAACTTCTGTGTGGTACAGAACATCCCCATACTCAGCCTCTGTTTCCGACAAGAACTCTTGAAATCGACGATGGTTCAATTCGCGACTGCGAATAAAATTGACAGTAGGTACGACCACCTTCATCACGGACTCCAAGCGCATCACTTTGGAACACAGTGATTGCTGGTGGATAATACAATGAAGATGAATAGGAGCAACAACGCCCAGGCGTGTCATTTCTGAGTTGATGCGTCCGACGACACCCGCTTTACAGCCAATCATATTTCTTGCGCCATCAGTCGTTACGCTTTTGAGGTTTTCCCATTTTAGCTGCAGCATTTCCAGACACTCGCATAGCTTGTTAAAAATATCTCCTGTTGTTGTGCCCTTCAGGCTTTCTAGAGCAGCTAGCTCCTCCGTCACTTCATAACTGGTGTCGATTCCCCTTCTTGCCGCATTTAGACGGTGACATGTTGCAGACGAACAGTCTGAAGAAAAAAAAAAAGAAAGAAGATAACCTGTTTTAAAGGCGAATTCTAGAAAACACATTTATGTGAGTAACAGGTAATGTTGAAACTTACTTTTCAAGTTGTCAATAGGGCCCTTGAGACGACCGGACTGCCCGGACGGACGCAAAGGAGTGACTGTTCTATTGAGTCCAAGCAAAGTGCGCACCCTTTTGCCCTCAGGGG